GGTCGTAAGTCGAGGACTACCCAACCGGTCGTAAGTCGAGGACTTTCCCTGCCCGGGAGCGCCGCGCATGCGTGGTTCCGCCCCCTGCGCCGGCCGAGGCGTAGCTGGCAAGCGGCAGAGACGGAGCAGGCCGACCACCAGCTGGCCCAGCTCAAGGGAGGTAAGGCACCCGCCGGAAAAGGGGAAAAAAATGGCGGACCAAAAAAAATGGCGGACAGCCTTGCTTGGCGACCCCCATGAAATGGTCGATCGACCCCAAATGGGGTCCCGACCCACAGGTTGAGAACCACTGTAGTTTAATCATTCCAGTTGCTCTTCTCTGCACTTTTTCCAAAGTCCCAGCATCTTTTTTTGTAACGGGGTGACCAAAATTGGATGCAGTATTCCAGATGTGGCCTTACTAAGCGGTACTAAGACTTCACGGGATTTTGATTCTACGCCTGTTTATACTACCATTTACATTTACACTTTTGATCCTCTCACGGCAGTCTTCGCCTAAGGCGGCACCCTATTAGGCTCCTATACATAGCTGACCGTTTGGGGGAGGCGGGTGGTGGGCTAAAGGTGTTGGCCGAACCCAGCCCCAGCAGCAAAGACCGAGGGCGTCGTCACTAATTCCCTTTCGAATCAGCTGGCCGTAGCAGCTCTGGCCATGTGCAAAGGGTCGGAAGAAAAGCGCTCTATTTTCTTACCTCCATCATGATGGCAGCTTGGCCTCGGTGAAGCCAGCCGTTCCGGCAACTTATCCCCCCCTCAACGGAACCGCGCAGACCCTACACCACAACCAGGTCTGTTACCAACGGGCGCTTCCGGCAATGGTCACCGCCGCGACGGAAGTGACGTTTCGGCTCGCATCTGGAGCATGCGCAAAAGCGCGCCATTCGCAGAGCGAATCGACTCCGGACGGCTTGGGATGGCGGGAGGGGGGGGGGAAGGGGAGGTAGATGCGAGGCTAGAGGTTAGAGCAGTGTTTCTCAACCTTGACCATTTTAAGGCATGTGGACTTCAACTCCCAGAATTCCACAGCCAGCAATGCTGGCTGTGGAATTCTGGGAGTTGAAGTCCACATGCCTTAAAATGGTCAAGGTTGAGAAACACTGAGACAGAGGCTCAGGCAGGGGTCTTGGTGGCAGCAGCAGCAGCAGCAGCAATGAGAGAGCTGCGGATGAGAGCGAGGTGGAAGAAATAACGGCGATAAATGTCCTATAACCTATAATTCAGGGGGTAGGCAACCTTGGGTCTTTTATGACTTGTGGACTTCAATACCCAGAATGCCTGAACCAGACACGCCGGCTCAGGAATTCTGGGAGTTGAAGTACACAAGTCATAAAAGAGCCGAGGTTGCCTACCCCTGACCTATATTAATAGTTGAAATGTGTGAGACTTACTCCCAAGGTCCACGCGTGGGGGAAGTGCAGCTTAGCACTGTCAAATTCGGTAGATTGCTTATAAACTGAGAAGGGGAGATCGCAAGATCCACGTTCTGCTCTGCCTCTCCAGTTCCGGATTTGGTTCAAAAATCAAGAGTTTGGAAAATTGTGAATCGGGAAATTCTAAATTTTAAGTTTTCTGAAAACCAAAATAAATGGTTTGTAAAAGTTAAAACTAGTTTTGATGCTATTAAAGGAATGGAAAACTTAGAAGAATAGTAAGTATACCATACTTACTATATTATAGTAATGGTATATTATAGTAATAAAAGATCTATCCAGTTCTTTTTTGCAGCCACTCCTCCAGCCTTTAAGCAGAAAAGTATGTTGGCGTGATTTGTGATACCCTGACGAGCTCTAATTTGCGTCCGTAATAAGATTTGCTAGTAGAGGATTCCCGAGATAGTTGATCCTTAAGGAAATTCTGGGTTATCATTGGGCCATGTTGCATCCAGGCATTGAGAAGTATTAAGAGAAATTATAGAATTTAAGTAGCTGCAAAATAAATGCTTACACCTACTAAAGTCAACCAAAGCTAGGCTTTGGGTAAAAAATGCTGAAGTAGCCTGTTGAAAAATGAAAAGCACTTCAGGCAGAATGATTGCTAGATTTTTTTTTTAAGGCATATGGGGGAGGTTAATGGAGTGTGATTTTTTTTTTAAAAAAAGACAGTCTCCTATGCACTCCAAATATTCAACAAAAATCAAAAATATATTTTAGAAGTTTAGAAGAATATATTATGAAGTTTTAATAGTATTTCAGAGTTGTATACATCTTTGAACAACTTTCATCCTCTGGCTTCATTTTATATTTTGGGGCAAAAAGTGTCATTACAGATTCTGAACAGAAGAGAGTGTAGTTTAGCTTTGTTTCAGGACAAAGTACCATTAAGCAATTATATCAGTATCAAAAGATGAGGCTATTTTTTTCCCCACCCAAATGAAAAAATGCCAAAATCCAAACTGATGAAAGATTTAGGCTGGTTGGGGGTTGCAGTTCAATGCTTCTAGAGCAGGGGTCTTCAAACTTGGCCCTTTTATGACTTGTGGGCACCAACTCCCAGAATTCCTCAGCCAGGCACGCTGGCTGAGGAATTCTGGGAGTTGAAGTCCACAAGTCATTAAAATAGGGCCAAGTTTGAAGACCCCTGTTCTAGAGGCGACTAGGTTTAAAACAAAGCTATAGTCATCTGTACTTTAAATCTCAAGATTTGCTGAATTTATCAGAGTTTGAGTTTAAAGCTGCTTATTTCCTAATAAATAAAGGAATATCATGCTTTTGTTGCTGAAATTATCATCTGCAAATATCTGAGCATTTGTGGAAAGAAAAATTGTAAGATAAAATGTGCAAAACTGCAAATATATATGGTTAGGGTTTGCACTATGATGCTATTGCGTGCATTTTAAAATAATCTCAATTTGTGGCAGATAACCATGCCAGTAACCAAAATGGGATGACATACAAAATTCTAAAGAAACTAGGTGGCCATCAAGTTTCAAAATATATCACATATTAATAAGTCTTGCTTAATAATGGATTTTAAGATTTTCTTTGGAATAATTTTCATTAAATATATTGATAGTGAATTTTTAATAGTTAAGTGACTAAGAGCTATTCTGATAATTCCAATCCATTTTTTTTAAATCAGCCATTGATTTGTGTGTGTGTGTGTGTGTGTGTGTGTGTTATAAATAAGCAATAGAAAAAGAAGTGTTCCTTTTTTCAAACAAGTTATATTTAAAAATGTACATTTGGATTAAGTGTACTATGTGGACGATATAAATGAGTCGACCCCGTTTATTTTTGACCTTTGACGTAAGCAGAAGTCTTTTACAAAACCAACAAAGGAAACACTAATGTTATCTATCCAAGAGTAAATGTTCTTCAATAACGACGTTGTAAAACGACAGGAGTCTACTGTTTAACTCTATAGTCTCTATCTGAAATACAAACGAAACGACAAAATTTTCACAGAATAAACTTGCAACACCACTTGTGAAAAAACACTTTTAAATAAATAACTAGAGGGACACATTGCTTATATTTGGTCAAAAGTCTCTGTTCCCGGTGCTATGCACAAAGGCATAGCATTGATAAGAGAGTCACTGAGCGGTGGCCTTGACTCATCTGATAGGACAGGATATTTCACCACTGTTTGAATAAATCCAGTAAGGCAAACAATGCAAGTTAGCATCTCTGTCCCCCACTGGCTAAATAAATAACTTGGTAAATGAATGAAAACCCAAGGATGAACAAAATGCCTACCAACATCTTTACCTCCACTTCTATTTACATCAAAAACACTGTTCTCCATCCAACGTTAGCAATGCAGCTTATTTATATACCTCAGTCTCATAAAAAGCTCAGGCAAGACAATATGCTATAGGCTTAGTCATAATAGTTCAGAGAAACCATGATTGTCCTGTGTAATCCGTTTGTCTAATATGAACTGCAGTAGCAAATAGACATCTCTCTATGCTGTTGCAGTTCAAATTAGGCAATCATGGTGGCTTGTATTGGTCAACAGGATAATAAATATAGTCAAATAATTTCCCCTAAATGCTGCAAGACATTATTTGTGGTCTAGCTGGGAAGACTATTTTGTAATGTTAACACTGCTTTGGTGCACTATGTACTAATTGAACAATTGTCTATTTTACTTTGCTGATTTTATAGGTCATTGGATGCTATGTTCCACATTTTCCTGCTATAACACTGGTATATCAATAGATCAAACTATCTGTACATCAACATATCAATGAGATATGTTCAGGAATGGCTAATACAAAAAACATCAAATGTGGCATTCCTATATTTCATGTTATATATGTTCAGATCTTAGGATGCTAATTAGGTAGTGCTCCAAAGGCCTTATGACAAATTTATAAGAAGTTAGTTAAGATGTTGTGGTAAGAATGGGGAGGCCCTAGTTCTAGTCCTCCATCAGTCACGTAAGTTCACTAATTGTCTTGGATCAAATCATATTTCTCAGCACAATCTGTTTCATGGAGATGTGGAAAATTAGGAAGAAAGAATGCTATACAGTACACACACACACACACACACACACATTCCTTACTGTAAGGCAGACTATAACATAAGTAAATACCACTTCTTCACATATACTGGCAGTTTCCAGATTTCCCCTTCCAACTTCAACATCTATTACTTTATGGAATTGGATCACAATTCCTTCATTGGACAGGAGGCCATAGAAGGGATATTTTTAAAAAGAATACTGGTGGATGGTTTTCAGGTCTTTTAGTTGCAGAATCTTCTTTTCATAATTTATGTATTTATATGGTCACCCATCTTAATAACTGAGCAGCTAACACTACAATAAACGTGCATGTATGATAAAATAATATAGCCATCAAAATTTTGTTCTCTCAAAGATCAAGCTACCACAGAAAACCTACAGCAGTATTTTGAGCAGTGGGATAAATTCAGTATCATATAATATGGCTATACCACTTCTTTTAGCTTCAGCTGGCCTAATAAAGATTATTGCCCTATAATATAGACTTGGGAACTTTTCTGAAAGTTTGACAAGCATCTGCAGAAAACTGAGTTAATGTCAGAAAAAAAATAACATACAGTGATGCCATAACATAAATCCAAACCTTATGTTCTTCCATCCTAATTCCTGATGTAAACATGAGTTGTTTTTTTGTCACTTTCCTTTTCCTGTAAGGGTTACCATTTTTTTTTTGTCCAGTTGAAAAAATTGGTATCCATTATGTCAATAACTATGGGATTTGATTGTTTTAATTAGGACAAAATACAGTGTGAATTCCCAAACATAATTTTCCCTGATACAGAAACCCTGTTTTTTATGCAAGGAACACATTTACCATCCCGTTCACAATTGTTTTTCTTTATGCAAGCCTTAAAGCTCAATTGTACAATAAGGTTTGTAACTTGACAGACAAATTATGTTTTTACAAAGTGGTGCTGTGCTTCAGGTTGACGTTGTCATTTGACAGTACAAATTATACTGCAAAGAAGAATCTCCAAACTACAACAGCCGAAGTTGCTATTAGTCAAAGATATAAACCAAATTCAAAAAAATGTGTTAAAGCTCCACCGAATATTGATAATTTTGAATCACCTCCATTTGATTTCTGTAAATGAGCAGAACTATATTTAAAAAACTCATTGTTTCTGTGCTTAAGCTTATACATAGCAAAAAATATTGCTCAATTAGTGACTGTCCAGGCACAATAAGGTTAACTATTAGCTATTTGAACAGTTGGACCTATCAGGAATCAGTTAGTAGCCCTCATGATGATTCACTTATATAGGGGCTTGGATTTGCCTTCCTGAATTTGGGGGAAATACTGGAAAGATGTTCAAGCGACTCAGTATCATGAAACTACTATTGCTCTTCCTTCTTTCCATTGCTCTGGTTAAATCTGGCGACCCTGCAGACTATGATGAAGATGAGGTTAGAATATAACTTCTTTTATATAGTAGCATAATTTCCATTTCACTTAGATTAAAACATATTTCTAATTTGTATAAACGAAAGTTTAATTTTCAACTTAACCTAAGAAAAAAGTACTGCACTTTTGCCCATCCGAGTACATATTTTTAAAAAATTTCTCTTCTCTTCTCTTTTCTTCTTCTTTTCTTCATACAGGCAACTGTTGCACCACCGGTAAGAATCTTTTTTTAAAAAAAATATATTAAAATAGATAGCCTATATGTGTTTATACTTGTTTTTGTGTTAGACTGCATTCGGATAATGGGTTGATAGTTTCCTATCAAATTCCTTAATGCAGAAAAATCCATATACAGAAAAATTGAAATTGTCTGAAAAAATTAAATTCCAAAGCAAATTTTATCACTACTTGGAATGAAATCTGGCAGATATAAGGGGAACCAGCATCATTTATGGTATCTTTATACTCCTCTGGTTATGGTTCTAAAAAGAATGTAAGAAGAAAGAATATGGAAGTGTTTTTCATTCCTCTATGTCTATGGAGTTTCTCAGTCATCCATGTCATTCCTATAGTTAAATGGGTGGAGTATAGGATCATTGATCTTCATAATGCACACTGAAGATATCTGAAACAAAATCCTATTGTCTGAGTAGGTAATCATTGAACTTTTTAGAAATTAAATATATATTCTACATTAGTCTAAAGGCAATATTAAATTTTCTTAATTTAATAAATACAATTTTATTATGCTTAATATACATTTGTAAATTAATTTTTAAATTTTTTTGAAATGAAATCTGGTATTAGATTATTTACCAGCAAAATATTATACAAAATGTATGATTAACATGCTAATTAGTGACAAGCCATATAGCTAATATATACATATGTACATAGCATAATACATATATGTGTGTAATCTAAGAAAGTAAAGCTTGTTTCTCTTCATATTTGTAGCCATAGGGCCTCAAGTTGCTATCTTTTTGAGTACAAAATATTTTAACTACTTTCCAACTTATTTTAAATTTATCTTTTGTTCTATAAAATGTCGTGTGAGAAATTTTGGAAATATAAAACCAAGCTCTTCCATGATTTTTGAACTCTGATTTCTTATATCCAGATCCAAAGCCCACATCCACGGAACGTGTTATTCATAAAGTGGATATATATATAAGCCGTAAGATCTTCATGTCATGAAACTTTTTCCTAGTTACTTTAAACTGATATCCTTTGGCTTTTGTTTCTTTTTCCTTTTTGCACATGTGGATTTTTAAATTTCATTTGGTTAGTCTTGGTGATTTATTCTTAGGCCATATGTTCAGCTAAGGTGGGCTTCTGTAAGTGGAGTGCAAAAATTTGGATGACTATTATTAGTCTTCCATTTTTTTCTTTTTAAGCCCAGCAACGATATTTTATGATTAAACTATCCAGCACCCTCTTTTTCCCAACAAAAGCTATATATGTGGAGGGGATAATATTTGACAGCATTAAGCAGAAGGAGGTCAAGCTTTTCGCCATGCTGTTTCCCTCTTCTAATATATTTAGAGGCTTCTTCTCCTCCATGTGGTTTCAGATCAACTTTTATTGTGCATTATATTGAACAATTCAGGTGCTCCCAATATAAATCCTGCATACAGACACATTTTGGAGATGTGTGTTGCTTGCTGCTTCCGTCAACAAACTAACACTTGAAATGAGTTTCCCATGCATTCTGTGTGGTTCCAACCCTCATGGTGTTCCATAAAGCCATCAAGACATGTGGTGAAATGGATGGGGCTCATTAATTGGGCTTGTTGATGGTTACTTTTTTTCTAGGCTGTATATTGTTCCCAAATCCCATTTGGGTTTAGGTTTGTATTGGTTTCTATGTTAGTTATTTGTGACCTACCTAGAGACAGTTGGAGTTGGACGATATCTAAATTGAATTAAGTAAACAAAGAGGCTGGAATCCTATTTCTCCATTTTTGGGAATAAATCCCATTGAGCTAATGGGTTTTACATTTGAGTAAAGATATATAACGAGAATTAATTTGTTAATGTTAATTTTGTAAAACCATGGCTCAATCACATCACGTTTGCAATCATAAATCCATTTTTCTGAGAGTAATAGAGCTTTTTTCTGAGTAGGTATATAGCAGTGATGGCAAAACTTTTAGAGACCCAGTGCCCAAATTGCAACCCCAAACCCACCTATTTATCACCGGGTGCTGGAGGGGCGTGGCCGCAGTGGTCATGGCAGACTGGGTGGGCGGGGCCAGGGCAGCGGGAGCCAGGTTCTCGCCATCTCCGGGGCATGGCACGCGTGCCCACAGAGAGGGCTCACGCGTGCCATAGGTTCGCCACCACTGGTATATAGTGTGAATTAGGACTCTGCATACTCTGTGCATACTATAATAATAGAAGACAACAGCCCTTTGAAAGAAGAGGTGTATTAGTCTGTGGAATGATGAATAATTACTTGTTTGTGCCTTAATATTTTTCTGTGGATGGAATGAGGTAAGCCTAATGGAAAGAATACATACTTATTTTGGTGTCAACTTGATGTCTCAAGGAAACTCAGGATATAAATTTAACAAAATAAGAAACCAAGAAAAATACAATTCACAGAAATATGGCACAGCTTGTTTTCACATGCATTTGCGTCACTTTTTTTTTGAGAATTTGATTGTCTGTGTTTTTTGCTAGAAAATCTTTCATCTTGAAAATTCTGACTGTTTGCAGTTTGTAATAGTATTTTTCCTTGCTGTTAAATAGATTGAAAATAAAGGTGACATTGCACGAGGACACAGGCCATTGAACAAGAAATGGGAGGCACTTCCGACTCTCAAGCCAGCTCCTCTTCCTCCGGTTGGTGGTATAAGGTATCAAGCTCGTCCAACCAAAAAACCTGTTACTGGTGCAAAGCAAGAGCCAATCGTTTACCCTGATAGCGGAGGCTGCAAACACTTGGCAGAGGAACTGGTAGGTGTTAGTTGTACTGAGGTAGAGTTGGGCTAGAACGGGTAGGCAACCTTGGCTCTTTTATGACTTGTGGACTTCAATAACCAGAATTCCTGAACCAGCCATGCTGACTGAGGAATTTTGGGAGTTGAAGTCCACAAGTCATAAAAGAGCCAAGGTTGCCTATCCCTGGGCTAGAATGTTTAAGAATAAATAATACATTGCTTTCATTAAAGTTTCCTTTGCAGATTGATTGTGCATTTTATTAAATTGAATGTTTATATGCATGTCCATTTATTATGTGACCATTTGCTATAATAATAAACCATTTCAAATAGAATTCACACATACACACATACACAAACTGTCAACGCTGCAAATACTGTATATTCTTGCTTTGACAATATGCAGAACTGTCTGGTATTTTTATAGTTAAACCAGGCAACAGGGAATAAGGGAGGAGAATAAGGATAGCCCAGGAGAAAGAAACCGGAAGTAAATCACATCTTCCAAGTTGATTGGAAGATGTGAACCATGACCCCAAAATAAGGGGGTGGGAAATGCTTAGAATGTATATGCGTAACGGAAGAGAAGCCAGACCTAAGCATTTCCACCATGCTGTAATAAATGCTTTTAGGAAAAAATATGCCTGAAAGTCCTTTTAAGTGTTTCGTTAATCAGACACTTGACACAAACATTGATTCCTAGGAAGATTGTTTTAGAACTTTTTTGTACTCAAATTAGGTGGTTTCGATAATTGTTTGAGTATATATATCATCTCTTTCACTATTTGCCTGATATTTGCGGCAGAGATGTCCTTTCTCGTAGGATGCCATAAGGCATCCAGTTCAGAATGCTGTTAGGCTCATTTCCTTACCACATAACTTTGCTTGAAGAAAGAAAGGACAGGACCAGACAGCTGAGTCTCATTCATTTTTTTTTAACTCTTTAGGGCTCCTCCCAGGTACTTGTGATGGCACTCTGGGGAAAAGGCTTCCATATTTCTGCAAGCCTCCATGCATAGCACCCTTCGTCTCACTAGATCCATTGGATACCCTATATATCATAAAGAATTATTACATGGGAAACATTACTTGTATTGGTGCGAGGTGTTTTTAAGAGGAGAGATTTTTATAAAGCTCACAGCAAAAACAGAAAAGGATTAATCTCAACCATCTTGTTTAGTGTAGTTTTGATACTGAAGAGAGCTATCCCAACAGAACCTTTTTAAAGGTTTTTTTTTATCATTTATAATTTTGAATTAACCCACTGAATTTGTTGTTCTTTTTAAGGGTGTATTATGTCCAACTGGTTGTGAGCTGAGAACTGAACTGTTGAAGCAAGAAAATACAGTGAAGCCAACTCTTAAGGAGCTAAGAGACAAAGCACAGAACCTACACCAGTCCTCTACGACTATTAATAATTATGCCCATTTATTGGACGAACGTTTAGCCAAAAGACAGAAACAATATACAGGTAACGCCTAATAGAGTAATGTGTCAAACAGTAAATTAATATGTAGGCAAAACTACCTTGTTTTCATCATGAAAGTTTTGTTTTTTTTTAAACAAATGAAGGGTAGCAAACAATATGAACATGCAAACACATTCTACAAAATAAGTACATTTGAATCAAGTACACTTAAATCCCGTGACTTAAGTCCCAACAGTTCTTTTTCAGAAGGCAACTGGGCTTTCTTTTTCCTTGAAAACGTTTGCTTATTCAGAACTGAAGAAGCTTTTTGGATGAGAAGCAAAATGTCTTCAAGTAAAAACAAAGTCCAGTTGCCTTTTGAAAAAGCAGTTTTGGAACTACTATGACCTGGATGACGGAGAATCTCCATAGACACGCGATTTAAGCCAAAAGGTTGACAAGTGATGCAAACTTAATAAACAAAGCTTATATGGTAGAGACAACAATTTTCTACTTTCTGTGTGTTTGCTATAATATCTATAAAAATAATTGTAATCACTGTTGCCTTTTCTTTATAGTTATACATTTGGTAATGTAAATAACAGTTTACTAGTATAATCCTCACTTTATTTAAAAGAGAGTCCTACTAAACTAATAAAATTAGAGTTGTTGCATTCCAGTCCACACTTTACTTGCAATCTTTTAAATAGACTTGCATATCTTTGGTTGCAAAATCTGTTTGTGAAATTTGTCATGCATATCAGTACGTCAAGTTTGTCACATCAATTGGTTCTCAATCCGAGTAACTAATGATTCCAAACCCTGGGTTATTAAATGCTTTTGATGCATATTTTCTTTCATTTGTGACTATTAACCATTTTTCCTGGGAATGATGAGACCTATAATAATCTAGGAACCCAAGAGAGAAAAATACTTAAATTAATAATAGTATCTGTCTTGCGTACTGGATCCAGTAAGCATATATTTGCCTCAATCATTGGTGATCTTTGTCTAAGAAGAAAAGGGGAAGGAAGTTTGGGATTTGATTTATAAAACTAATTTGCAGTTATTTATTTTGCACATAGTGCCACCTGTTCATAGAAATTTACAAAGATTGGAAAATCTGTCTTCTTATATCCTGGAGCGTAGTAGAGGAATTAGAAGAAAATGGAACGTCTTAATATCTTGTTAAATGTATTTTGTTGTTGTTCTTTTTAAAAAGCCTACCACCTCTTTACATTCATTTCTTTTCTCTCTCCAGATAATCAGAATTTAATTTCCCAATATAACAGAGAACTTGAGGAACACTACATTTACATCAAAGAGCAATTAGATAACAGTGTTCCATCCAGTTTACGACTTCTTCGTTCAGTTGTGGATACTTTGAACAAAAAATTACAAAAACTAGAAAACGCCATTACAACACAGTTGTCTGAATGCCAAACCTCTTGTACAGTTTCTTGCAATATCCCAGTAGTGAGTGGCAAAGGTAATGTTTCAATTCTCCCACTTGCTTTGCTCTAGAAATGGGACAGATTCTTAGACAATTTTGGATACCACTATGGGGAGATCCTTACATTTCAGTCTCCTCTGAGAGACTTCCTGCAAAGTCAACATTGCCCATTGCTTTGTATCTTTGGATTACCGACATTTGTCCTGGATAATTGCACTACATAATACTGATGCACCTTTTGAATCCAACATCCCTAGATTCTCATGTTGTCCCTTACGGCCCTTGTAACTGGCCATTGACAGTTCTGGGGTGGAAATGAGAATCTTCAAGGACTACATGCCAATATGGTTAGATGTGAAGCCTGTGATGTATGAAGCTAGAGTTATGTGTGGATGGGCTACCTTTATACTTTGATTTCCTTCCTTCCTTCCTTCCTTCCTTCCTTCCTTCCTTCCTTCCTTCCTTCCTTCCTTCCTTCCTTCCTTCCGTCCTGGAAAAGAAGTTATTTGTGACTATGGAGAACCTTTGAAATTAAGTCAAGAAATGCTGCATTTATAGCTCCACAAGTTATCCTTTCTAGCCTGCAGCAAGCTGATTGTTTGTTGCTTTCCTTGCTCTTATTTCTCAACCATTTAAAGGAATATGTGAGAACTAATTCTTGGACTTTAAGTTAATAGTAGATATTTTAAAAGTATCTCTTTATTTCTTGTACTATATCTCATGGGCTCATTTGTCAGGAAAGCTTGCATTCAGACATTGTTTGAAGTTAGACTTCACAACAAACACAACAGAAATTTTGACTCCATAAACTCATTACCATATTCAAAAATAGCAAGAGCATCATAAGTGTGACATGACTTGATAAATTCCATTCGTTCGGATAAGAAAGAAGTCATGTATATAGAGAAGATTTGTCTAATGCAGAAGAAATAAATAAAGATAGTCTCAAATTTTACATCCTAGACATTTTTCTCCCACCTTGCTTGGTTATTCCTCCCTTAACCTTGAGAGTTGGATACATAAGTTCCATGTTTATATAATAGTTATTTTTTACCTCAGCACTGATGGCTTCTATATGGCCAAATTCAAGCCTTACAGTGGGATGGACGAAAGAATGTCCAAATCAGCATTTCTAAAAATGCATTTAGTCCTAGGTAAGGCAGAGATCCCAAAAGCAAGTAGACACTTGAAAATTCTCTGGTAGATGTTTATTGCAGATTAAAATCTTCAAGTCTTCCCGTGCAGTTTAAATTATGTGATAAATTTATGTAGTTCAGACAATTACTTATTCCTCTGTTCAGAACATTTTCGTTGATCACTAAACTAGATAATGGATTTCTGTTTGCAGAGTGTGAAGACATATATAGAAAAGGAGGTGAAACGTCTGAGTTGTACCTTGTTCAGCCCGATCCTTTCTTTAAGCCATTCAGAGCGTATTGTGATATGACTACAGAAAATGGAGGTAATTGTTAAGCTAGTATTCTTAATCAAAATTGTTTCACATGATGGATCCATTGCCTTTATAATAGCCACTTACCTCTTCAAGTACTGTATGTGTGCCATGATAAGAGCAAAAAAACAAGAACACCCACTTCTAAATGCTGGGATCTTATTTTCTAGGCCAGGGCTTTTCAACCTTTTCACCCATTGTACCCCTTTTAGGATATGGCAATATCCGAGTACCACCAGTCGCCTAGCAAGGTGTCAAAAACTTGATGACAAAAAAAAAGGAAAAAAGTGATCAAGTACAGGTAGTCCTTGACTTACAACAGTTCACTTAGTGACTGTTCGAACTTACAATGGCACTGAAAAAAGTGTCACCCAAGCCACAGCCGAGCAAGACACCTGCCTGCCCACCCGGCGGTGCTCTTCTTCCTGTCTGAGGTTTTCATTGTTGTGAGCATTTCTGTTGGGATTGGCAGCGGGGGTGGGGGGTGTTTGGTTTTTATTCCCCCCGTCTGCTGGGTGGTTGCAGCAGGTTTTGGTCACCTCACATGACACTGGGACCGTCATAAATATGAATCAATTGCCACGCATCTGAATGTACAGTAAATCACAAGACCCTGGAGATGCTGCAACATTCCAGCTGATTGGCGCTTCTTCAGGGCTCAGCAGTAGCGCCAGGATCAGCGCCGAGCTCCAGCTGGAGCCTGGTGCTGATCCTGGCGCTTCCGCTGAGCCCTGACAGCCCCTGGCGCTTCCGCTGAGCAAACAGCCCTGCAGCTCCAGCCATCTCTCGCTCAGGCTTGTGCGGTGCTGCTACCGGTTCAGCTCATTCCCCTCCCCCGCTACCACTTTTCTAGGATGGTTGCGTACCACCTGCCAGGTGCCAATGTACCACAGGTGGTACCCGTACCACTGGTTGAAAAGCCCTGTTCTAGGCAATAGACTGAGCATAGAAGAGGAGGGCAAACGATTGGCTAAGCATAACAGTGTTAACAAGGTGGAGTCCATTCAGAGTAGGAAATCTACAAAGGTCATCTTGTCCGTTCCCCATCCTCTAGTTCTCAAGCTTTATGGAAATATTTCACGAAAGTGGACTATATAATAGTTTTATAATTATAAAACTTAAAACTATAATTTATAATTTTGAACAGGTTGGCTTCTAATTCAAAACCGCCAAGATGGGAGTGTTGGCTTTGGAAGAAAATGGGATGCATATAAAAAAGGGTTTGGAAATATTGCTTACAGTGGTGGTAAAAACTACTGTGACACCCCAGGTAAGAATCTGTTTTCCAGCAGTGTTTATCAATACATAATTAACAATTGTCTCTGCTAAGCAAGATGAAACATAATATTTTCTTTTTAAATAAATTTTTTTTATTCAAAAGTTAAAATGCAAAACTCAAAAAAATAATTCACAGAAGCAAATAAAAAACAAAGCAATTAAAAGTGCATTAAAAAAACACAAATACATATACATATATTACCCCCCACATTGATTACTGATAAATATATTACAACAATATTACTTTCCCACCCCTTGCAAAACAGGCTCACTTTTTTCAAATTTCTAATTCTATTCACAAATTGTTAATGTGTCCTGTATCTACTATATTAATGGTCAAATAGTTAACAGGAGGAACAACAAATAAACAAACCAAAAACAAGATTAAAATTTCAAAACCCTCTGTTAACAAACCATTATTGTATTCAACTCATAGAAAGTATACTACCTCTTTATACTTTAATCTATCCAAAGTCATCCCAACAGTTAACTCTAATTCGTCCTGGATCAAATATTCACGATTGTTTCTTAATACCATCTCTTATCAATTGTTGTTTGATTAAATATAATAGATCCATTCTCCAAAGTTGATCTATCTTCCCGAAAAAGTCCAACTCTAGTTGTTTTTGAGTTAAGTATAATAAATCCATTCTCCAATCTCTTTTAATCTTCTTAGAGAAAACCAATTTGGTCAGTTTTTTGCTGTTGTAAAAGAGGGCAAGCCTGAATTTTGGCTTTTGCAGTTCTCACTAGAAAGTGTAATCTTTAAAATTTCTCATCCTGGGTGGGTCCATGGTTGTCTGATAACCATCTTGGGTCATTCCTAAGTGCTGCCATTCAAATCCAGGCACCAACCTGCCAAAGCTTGGCAGCAAGATTAGCAGCTCATCAGCAGGAGAAAAAAAAAAAACCTTACTGTCCAGCAGCTATTTTGGGGAGGAGACTGAGACTATATTTCCTTTTGTAGTCTTCATTACTTTCTGTTCTAACTGTTCTATTATCTACATTTGTACTCTTCTTTCAGGTGGGAATACAAATCAAAGTGTCAGTTTTGGCCTTTAATCTTTTAAATTTGTCAGTGTTTGCTTGAATTTTCTATTAATGCATAAATTATCTATACCAAAGGAATGTCAAGAAACATTTTTCCTTAATTGCCTAACAGTTGTGGAACTTTCCTTCCTTAGAGGTTCCTTAGAGACTTCCAAGCTACATCTGAAGTTAAATATATTACCTGCAATCTAGTGTAAAGTGCAATTTAGTGTAAAATTATATGCTAATATTAGCTGTACCCCGCCACGCGCTGCTGTGGCTCAGTCTGGTAAAAGCGTGTGTTGCTTTTACGTCCAACAGATGGCGCTGTTTTTCAAAAAAGCATGTTTTTACCTGTCACAGGTGTGACATCTATATAATAGTAGGTATATAAAAACACGCGCGTATTCGATTGCAACGTTGTGTCAAAATTTCAAAGCAATCAGTGAAGAAATTTCAGAGATTTAAGATTTTGAACAAACGAACATTTACATTTTTATTTATATATAGATAATAGATAATGAATGCAGAGAGAATCTTTGTTTTGATATAGACTGCCGTGTTCAGAAAAAGAAAGGTTTACTTCTTCACTCTTTCCACATATCAGTTTAGAAATATCCCCTGCTACTAGTTTTCCATGCATTGTCGTCTCACTTCAAAATGAGCCAAACTTTGTGGAAAGGATAGAGAGGAGGATTTTCACTATGACAGTTGTCAATTTCTATCAGCTGCAGTTTGGTTCACGGAGTGTTTTGGTTAGACATGCATTTCAGAATCTTTGTCAAGTTGCCTTTTATTGACCTCAATAAAAAGAACATTCAAGCCACCAGTCCCCAGCCATTCTTTTAAGTATGGACTCGGAATACTGCAAAAGGTAAATAAGTACATATAAATCAGTTTTTTTTTTCATACATTCATAATGACTTTGGCTCAGTTATTATGGTATAGGTTTATGACAAGTTGAAGAGACTGCTTAAAATTTGATGAAAAGAGCTTCAGGGGATTTATTTTGTGTCACAGGTGAATATTGGCTTGGAAACGACAAAATCAATCAGATTTCCAAATTGGGGCCTACTGAACTTTTAATTGAACTGGAAGATTGGGAAGGCGCTAAAGTTATGGCCCACTATAGAGGCTTCAGTATTCAGAATGAAAACAGCAAATACCAGCTCTCTGTTAGTAACTACAGGGGTACAGCTGGAAACGCACTTTTAGAAGGAGCTTCACAGCTATTTGGTGAAAACAGGACAATGACAATCCATAACGGCATGTTCTTTAGCACTTTTGACAGAGACAATGATGGATGGTAAGTATATGCATTTTCACTTGGTTTCTTTATAGTTTTATATAGCACCTGCAAAACGTTTTTGAATCATCCTCCTACAGAGGATTTTGGGGTAATTTTTTTTTGATAGTTCCTTATGAATAAGCTCTGTTGAACTCAGTGAAATTCATTACTGAAATTCATATGATTTGTCCAATTTTTATCCCACTTTTCCTGTGGGAACTCATGATGGGAGAAAAAGTATTCTTTCCTCCGTTCCATGTATGGAACAAATTAGGTTGTGAGAAAGTGACTGACTGAAATTTATCTAGTGCAGCGGTTCTCAACCTATGGGTCGTGACCCCATTTGGGGTCGATCGACCATTTCATGGGGGTCGCCAAGCAAGGCTGTCCGCCATTTTTTTTGTCCACCATTTTTTTGTCCGCCATTTTTTTCCCCTTTTCCGGCGGGTGCCTTACCTCCCTTGGGCTGGGCCAGCTGGTGGTCGGCCTGCTCCGTCTCTGCCGCTTGCCAGCTACGCCTCGGCCGGCGCAGGAGGCGGAACCACGCATGCGTGGCACTCCTGGGCAGGGAAAGTCCTCGACTTACGACCGGTTGGGTAGTCCTCGACTTACGACCGGTTTAGTCCTCGACTTACGACCGGTTTAGTCCTCGACTTACGACCGGTTGGGGGTCGCGGCATTAAAAAGGTTGAGAACCACTGATCTAGTGAGTTCCCGTGGTTGAGATGGACTTGAATCTCAGTCTGTTTACTTTTAATCCAATACCATTACCATTCTAACTCTCCATTAGAGGTGTATAGTGTTGCTTTTCTATCTGGAAAAGATTATAAAGGGTAGCCAAAAGGTAAAATTATGAGTATCCAGCATTCATTTTTGGGACAACTGATCTCCTAGAGCAGCTAAATCGATTAAAAAAACTAACCTTATCTGGGTAAGATATAACTGTTTCTGAATTTGCTATTCCATATATAAAAATTATGTTAAAGCAATACATCACATTGCTTTGTTTGGGGTTTAAGAAGGTTTCAGGTACAGTAAATATTAAATGAATCCAATTTATTGGGAAATACAGATATTTAAAAGTGCAACATCTCAAATCAAAGAAGCCAAAACTAGAATGTTTCTATTATTTTTGTTATGTGTGTCACAGCAGTGGATATATATACACATAGTAAGATAAGGCAAGATTCATAGTATGTATTTACATTTCAGTTATGGTATCTATTCTTTTAAATGTTTTGTGTAATTAATTCACAGGATACACCCAGATCCCAAAAAGCAATGCGCTAAAGAAGATGGCGGTGGATGGTGGTATAATCGTTGTCATTCAGCCAATCCAAATGGCAGATACTACTGGGGTGGACACTACACCCCAGAAATGGCAAAACATGGAACAGATGATGGAACTGTGTGGATGAGTTGGAAAGGATCCTGGTATTCACTCAAAGAAGTGAGCCTGAAGCTGAGACCAATTTCCCAGTCTTAGTAACAATGATTATTTAAATAAATAATTGCAAGTTTCTGTGTTTACATCTGTTTCATGATACTCAACTTTTACTTTGCATAAAAGCAGCAAAAGAACAATAAAGCAATTCTTCCTTGATGGATCTGTTTAAATGCATTTTGATAAAAATGGAAAGACTATGCTGGAAATGAATCTACCAACCCCTCAAAACAATGTTATATGTGATGTACAGAAGGGCAGTACTGAAACCTATGTTTTGCTAAATAAATATTTTATCCTAATGTCTGCCCATTAGCTCACTTATTGAAAAGTATATTCATAGGGAGTGAGTTTTTGCTTCACATTTTTTTTGAATAAAAGAAGCCAAGTTATATGGACAGGATGCTTTGTCCTTCTAGCTTCCTTCTTAGTATGCAAAAATGATTACACCATCTGTTTAAAACAATATCTTCATATCTTTTGTTTTACATTGTTTTCAAAGCTCTTAGTATGTTTCTGATTTCTTTTTAATCATTGGAGACTAAAACTCTTTTGGATTTTAAACCGCAACTTCTCAAGTCCTGCAAAGGCGTGTTAGACAACTATTAAGATTGGGAGTTTTATTTTCAATATATTTGTAACACACAGGAAAGTTTTATGAAATTTATTTGCTTCCCATCTTGCTACCAGGGAACTCTGGGCAGCTTACAACATTTTACACACACACACACATCTGGCATCCCAAGTTAAAGCAGACAGAATTAAGACAGATCTCTGATAGGATTATTAGAGAGCTGAAGTCTCTCCAAGGTAGCCATATAAGGACATGGAGCTATGTTTAGACAGGGTATGAGATAAATTCATAAGATTCATGTCATCCTTGTCAGCAGATTGTAATGGTTTTACAAACAAAACATATCTTTTAAGTAAGTCCTACTGTCATCAGTGAGATTATTCTGTAGAAGTATAGCCTCATTCTCTAGTTCAGCCATGTCAAACTCGCGACGTCACATGACGTTGCACAACATATCGGGACTTTTTCCTCATTGCCGGCAATGGGGTGGGTGTGGTTTCGGTGTGACGCATCTGGCCCGCAGGCTGGCAGTTTGACATGCTTACTCTAGTTCAGTGGTTCTCAACCTTTTTAATGCCGCGACCCCAACTGGTCGTAAGTCGAGGACTAAACCGGTCGTAAGTCGAGGACTAAACCGGTCGTAAGTCGAGGACTACCCAATCGGTTGTAAGTCGAGGACTTTCCCTGCCTGGGAGTGCCGCGCATGCATGGTTCCACCCCCTGCGCCGGCCGAGGCGTAGCTGGCAAGCAGCAGAGACGGAGCAGGCCGACCACCAGCTGGCCCAGCCCAAGGGAGGTAAGGCACCTGCCGGAAAAGGGGAAAAAAATGGCGGACAAAAAAAATGGCGGACAGCCTTGCTTGGCGACCCCCGTGAAATGGTCGATTGACCCCAAATGGGGTCCCGACCCACAGGTTGAGAACCACTGCTCTAGTTGATAGGTTGATTCTTACCAAATAATAGAGTTTAGTATTTTCAGGTTACTGTTAACTTGGTTGCCTCTTTGATCCCTTGACAGCTTGGAAGTTTTCTGTCATCTTCCCCAATGCTCCAAAAATGCTACCATAGCATTTCGTCGGAGGAGGTAAATTGAAATGATGAGTAGCCTCTTGGTTCCAACAGTAAGAACATAGGAAGTGCCTTGCTGGATCAGGCCATTGTTCCATCAAGTCTAGAAGTCTGTGTTACATGGTGGCCAACTGGTTCCATTTGGAGAATGCACAGATCTGGCTTAAAGGGCATACCCCTTCCACTATTCATCTGCATCTATCATACATACATACCCATCACACTATTTCAATTGAATGTCATGCAAAGACAAGAAACAATAAGACAAAGTCATTAAATGCTTGAGATAAAAAGTTAAAAAGTTAAAAATTTATAAAGCCATAGCTACATTCACAAAGTATTGTTCGTTGTTACATATAGTGCCCTTTCAGTTGCAATTCTACCAAACTTTTTCCCAAGCACATATAACAGTTTAAATCTCTTGTAGTTTTTGTAGGGTTTTTTTTTGTATTCCCTCTTTCTATTATTCCTTTTATATAGAAGAACAGTAATTAACATTCTTCCAGTTATTAGTTATAGATGCAGTCTTGTATGTTGAATAAACTATGGCCACCCTCCTCAAACAAAGCACATCCATATTTTAACATTTTTCCAGTTATTATTTCTTTGGATATACCATCTGATGTCTTGCCATTCTCATAGCATTTATTATTTCCTATTCATCCCTTTTTAAGATAGAAACTAATTGAATTATTTTCAATTCCACTTTTCAGTACATCACTCTCCTTTTCATGTAGATCCTTGAACTATTTGTTCATTTCAGATTCATCCCAAATCATTTCATTTTTTTAAAAAAAGATCTATTTAGTTTTCTGGATGTTTATTTATCTCCCTTCACATTTTTTAGAACAGCAACCTTTTTGTCCCATTTTTGGTCCTTATTCATCTTGTTTTCACCCATTCAAGAATAATTGTTCTGCTGGTTCATAGTCAATTGTAACATACAGCTGGAGTGTAACATACAGCTATCACCACCTATGGATTCCTATTCAGTGAGTTTCCATGGCTTAAATGGACCTGAAACTGGGTTTTGTCAAAATTCAGTCATTTAACCAATATACTATTCCACATCTGAGTTTGTTTGGAGGTTTTTAGTAAAAGATTTTGTCAAAAGCTCTTAAAAAGTCCACACATATAGTATATGTTGAAATGCTCTTGTGTACATATTTGCTGATGTCCTCAAAAAAAAATCTAGAGGGTGAGGCAACTTTATCTTTGGAAAAACCATGTAGTTTTCTTTGCTTATTTTTATTGTATATTAACAACCATTTTTCCTATAACAGATGTTGAGCTAGCTTGCTTATTATTTCTTTAGCAACCCTTTCAAAAATCAGAGCCATATTGGATATTTTCCAGTCTTTTACAGCAAGTGCAACAGGTATTTTTTTAAAAGATCGGCTATTTATATTTAAATTCTTGAAACATTTTTGAGAGAATATCATTGGATATTGTGGACCTGTGGACCAATTTGCTGCTTAGTTTGTCATCCCTTGTAATTTATAACTTCACCCCTTACCTCTATTTGTATCAATTCATCCAATCTTGTGCCTAAATAAGCTAGTTTAAGAACAAAATATGCTTCTGTGTTCTGTTTAGAAACAAAAAAGCAGAAATGCAGATGTGTGAACAAGAATCTATCGTTAATGGGCTAGACATTTAAAAGGACATTAAAGTGCCCTTTAAGTGTTTGAAAGCTAGCTATGTATAGGCTCTAAGAATGTTGTGCTCAATCAGAAACTATTGGGTATCTATTATGCCAGGATCTGTATTGTGATTCCCAGTTTAGATAGGCCAAACGTTTTGTTTTCTGGCAGTTTTGAGCAGAAGGTTTAATGGGCAAAATGGGAGCCACAAGGCTTGTGGGTGTTCAAGGGACACTTTTCAGTCTTTCAGACTTCTGAAAGTTGCTTTGTCCATTGCTCATTTTGGAAAGCCCTTGAAATGCTATGCAAAATCTGGATTTGGCCTTAAACTAAGAGAAATGCTACAGTTGTCATGATAACCCAGTTTATAATTGTGCAGTTGTTATTTGAGAGGACATGCTTATATATAAATTAAGGTTTGCCCACAGTTGCTGCCATGCAGAAACATGTCTTAACTACACTTATAATTGTTTTAACTGATTAACTGAACTGATTAGAAAGTTTTTGGACTTTACTTCTCTGCAAATATTAAGCAACAGGGTTTTGTAAACTAAACTTTGAGTTTCTGGCTTGTCTTTTTCATGTGTACATCACATGTCTGCTCTAATATTTGAAATGGGCCTTAGTATTAACTTTGGACTGGATTCACACATTGCAGAAGCCATGGTTTATGTAAACATGATTTGCTGAGAAAGCCACAATTGATGGAGATCACACAATACCCTTAACCAAAACAAAGCATGTTATACCTTAAGGATCTGTGTGAACATAGTTAATCCTTGACTTGCAAAGGAGTGAATGGAACAATTCCTAAAGATGGATGTCCTTGACCATGAGAGATAAATGGCATCTTTTCAAAAGGCCCAAGACCGCACAATATATTTTCATTTAATCTAGGATTTGTATTTGGGGGGAAAAGACCTAAAACATTTCATCCCCTCTATACTACTACTCCTTGTGACTCTGGATTCAGTCCGTACTCTGGAGCAGGAGAATGAAAGAAGGGGAGAGCCAGGGAACTCCAAGGTCATGGCCATAGTGATCTGATATTACAGGTAGTCTTTGACTTATGACCACAATTGAGCCCATAATTTCTGTTGCTAAGTGAGACATTTGTTAAGTGAGTTTTGTCCCATTCTATGACCTTTCATGCTAAGTGAATCACTTAGTTGTTGTTAGTACAGGTAATCCTCGACTTACAACAGTTCATTTAGTGACCATTCAAAGTTACAACATCACTGAAAAAAGTGACACGATCATTTTTCACACTTATGACTGTTGCAGCATCCCCCTGGTCACATGAACAAAATTCAGACAGTTGACAACTGACTCACATTTATGATGGTTGCAGCGTCCCGGGATCACATGATCACCTTTTGTGATCTTCTGACAAGCAAAGTCAATGGGTAAACCAGATTCTCTCAACAAACATATAACTAACTTAACAGCTGCCATGATTCACTTAACAACTGTGGCAAGAAAGATCATAAAATGTGGCAAAACTCACTTAACAAATGTTTCTTTTAGCAACATACATTTTGGAAAATCGTAATCATAAGCTGAGGGCTACTTATAACATGTTTGTTAAGTGAATGTGCCTTCCCCATTGACTTTGCTTGTCAGAAGGTTACAAAAGGTGTTCACGTAATCTTGGTACACTGAAACCGTCATAAATATGAGTCAGTTGCCAAGCATCTGAATTCTGATCAAGTGACCATGGGGATGCTGATTTGACCATGGTTGTAAGCAGGGCTTTTTTTCCGGCACCTTTTTGGGATGGAACCTTGTAGGGTAGGCAAGGCGGATTGTATGACATGTGTGAGTTCGGCACCTTTTTTTTTTTTTTTTTAGAAAAAAAGCACTGGTTGTAAGCGTGAAAAATGGTCATAAGTTATTTTTTTCAGTGCCATTGTTATTCCAAAGGCACAGAGAGATGAATTAGAATTAATAAAAGGCATATCCGCAGTCTGTTTCCCTAGGAAGTGTAGGAGGCTATGGGTGATTTGTCCCAAATCCAGGCTAAAGTGATTGAGATAAACAGTCATGAACATCCACATCTGCACAGAATCTTACAGTATTGCCCTCCCAAAGAATGTTTTGGGGTGGGCAGCATAGTTGGTGAAAACCTTTAGATCCAGGAAATGAGTTTTCAGGTGAGGACAGTGGAATTGCAAGACCATTCTACCACCTTTTCCTGGATTCGTCCAGTCAGCCTTTCTTAGCTAGCTCAAATAAACCAAGACAGATAAGGGTCAAGTAAGCATGTGATGATGCAGCAGCGATAAGTAGTTATAGCCTCAGAGTTGAAAATGTTCCCATACAATTAGAGCAGATGGTGGATAATTGCCCACCACAGTGCAACTGCACTAAATGCAGTGTTCAGGTCGGTATGAAGTTAGACAAAAAAGGGCATGCATGTTTCTCATTGGGTCTTTGAGAACTCCAAAAATGTTTTTTTTGAACAGTGCTTGAACATCATAGAGGCTGCTTGAGCAGCTATTTGAGAATTTAATGGAAGTCATCAAGATAATTTTTCAGTGTTGAAGATTATTACATTTCCTCATTGAATATCTAGGGAAATTCTCAGTCATCCAGGTCATAGTTATCCAAAATGTGCTTTTTCATGAGACAATTAGACTTTCTTGTTTTTTCTTTGAAGACATTTTGCTTCTTGAATGACTACAGTTTGATCACTGTACAGGATTATTACAGTTTGAGATAGGGTTGGGGGCAGATTTACTATGTAATTGTAGGTTACCCTATAATATTGTTTCATCACACTGCTAATAAGTGCTCCTGTGCCACATTTCAAAATGTGGTATTAACAATCATTCCTTTCTAAGATTTTGCTTCTTTAGTTTACAAATCAGGATCTTATCCCATTTATGTAATAATAAAAGTACAGTTCTGTTTCTTTCCACTTTTCCCCTGGTTTTCTGTCATATTTAAATATAAGGCTCAATTCTTTGCCGTGTCAATATTTTCCCACTGAAATGGTTTACGTGGTTTCATTGTATTCGTCACACAGTTACAAAATATAGAGAGCCTTCCTTTTTATTTTGCAAAATAAGTTAAATAGACCAGAAAAATTTATTAGAGTGAATCTGTTTATTTTATTTAATAGGTAGGTATCACTCAGTTGCATTCAGATAGTAAAGAAACAAACACACACACATACACACATATAATAAGTTTGAGGTATATATTGTTTTGGAAGTTGGATTAAATTTTAAGACTCTTATCTCTAGTCTGTTTCTACTGGCCGAATTTTCATTTGTACAACTCTGAGAGAATAATCTGTTGGCCTAAAGGGCAACCAAATCACTCCATTTTCAATCTCGTAAGGAACATTGTTCCTTGGATCATACTGACCACCTGAGTAGTAAATACCATTGAGATTAGCCGCTTGACAGTTGTTATACCACCAGCCACCTCCATACACCTCAGCACAATTCTCCTCCCACCGATCATTGTCTCGGTCATAAGTACTAAATTTCATGTTAGTGTGAGCTGTATATTCAGTGCCATCTTCCTCTGATCCTTTGATCAGGGCATCCCCTGACGTCCCTTTATAATTCGAGACTCTGAGTCTATAACCTTCTGACTCAGAACCTATGTGTATATTATATTCTGCATAAACTTTATCACCCTCCCAGTCTTCTAGTTCAATCCGAAGGACAGTATCTTTCTGGGTCAGGATATGGAGATTTTCATTGCCCAGCCAGAATTCTCCCCTCCCTTTGACATCCAAACTGCCAAAACCTTTCTTGTAGTCTTCCCAGGTCCGGTTAAAATTCAATGACCCATCCAATCTCTGTTGGATCAGAAGCCATCCTCCCAAAGTAGTCTCTTGGTCGCAATAAACTGAAAAAACCTTAGCGGATCCTGCTGGCGTGATTCTGAAAATGCCACTTTGGGCATCAGAAGTGTGTTTTTGGTGGATATCCTCACAGTCTAAAAAAACAAAGTTGATCAAGTTGACAGAAGTTTTCAGTTAAGTTTTATTACAAGCTCTCAGGTATCCAACAGTAATATTGCTGAAGTCAACTGTCTACACTCAATGTTGTGCTACATGAAAAGACATTTTGCATTATACCCCCACCCGAAAGGAACACTTATGTTTAAATTTATTACCACTGGCATTCTGTATGGAACTGCCTTGCTAACCAATGTCTCATGATAAAAACTCAATGTACCCCACCTTTCTTAAATGGCAACAAACAGACACATGGCTTTTATTAACTAAACAATGTCATGGGTTGCAGTATTTGTGTCAGTTTGGTTGCAAACTTCATTTTTGCTCCCTCCACAATTATTTTCCATGAACTGGATGGATACCTTTCCCGATGTTGCCTTTCCCAAGCGTCTCCTCTGCATTCAAGCTTTGTTCTTCTAAATCTGTATTATGCTCTGCATTTTCATCATGTTGTAATTCTACAATATGACTGGATTCATAGGTTCTTCTTGACTTGGTCTCTACAATTGTCTTGGTATTGCTTTCATGGGATAAATGGTCTAATCTTGAGAAGTCATCAAATTCTTCCTCCCCTATTTCTGAGAAAGTGTCCCCTTCCTGTATTTTTTTTGTGTGGCTGAATGATGGGGTTCCGGAATCTGCATCTGGATGTTGGGGAACAAAGTCATGGGAGCCACTTCCACCACTGATGAAACCTTGCAAATTAGAACAATCTGAACCATCAGGAGTTTTAAATTCTTCAACTGTCTCTTCTCTTAAGCCACCAGGACCACGAATGACTTTTTTAGTGATGGTTTTGATACATGTATGGCTGGTATGAACATCAGTAGACGGTCTTATTATTGCTTTGTTTGTAGATGGTTTTCCAGCTACCCCTGTTCCAGGAATATCATATTTTGTGTCTGGTAAGGATCCTTTAGAATCTTCCAATACTACCTTAAACACCTTTATACTGTCAAGTATACTTGCTTCCTGATCAGTAAGAAGACCAGATTTATAGTGACTGGGAGCAGTAGAATCCTTCACTTGTGTTATTTTCAATGACTTGAGGGGAACAGCTTCCTCTTCTGATTCAAATTTAATGGTATTAACTTGTACGAGCTGCTTCTGTATGTTTCCATAACTCTCAGTGTCCAGATTGTAGTTGAAAATACGAGCACAAGATCCTTTGCAGGCACGTATTTTAATATCAATGTCCACCTAGATCATGAGGATTTGGAGAAAAAATATAGAAATTTGTAAGTAGACTTTGATTCCTAAATCTCTCAGAGTTGTAACCCTAGTTGCTGCCACATAACATTAAAAATAAGGAACTCTTGTCAAGCCATTGCTGATTGTAACTCCACTGCTACTTGAAGTGAGGCCAAATTCTACCATAAATTTAGATGGGCTGTCTGCAGCCACTGAATTATATGTGGCCTTGGGCTTCACTTCATATACCCTTGAGATAATTTGAAAAGTCCTCTGCAAACAGATTGCAGATTTTTAATATCTTTTCCCTGGTAGTCGGTTATAAAGTTTAAAAAGGAGAAGAGACTATAACCTATCCATGTTTGTGCTGATTCAAATTTTTGGTCTTACCTACCAACAGATTATTTAACATAGCAAAATAACATAGTCAAATGTTACTGCTGTAAAACAGGAAGGAAGGAAGGAAGGAAGGAAGGAAGGAAGGAAGGAAGGAAGGGGGAGGGAGGGCGGGAGGGACGGAGGGGAGGGAGGAAGACCATCCATTGTACAAACAATGGTTTTCTAATCCCACAGTTGCTGAAACTGCCTTATTCATTAAAACATATAACTAATAAAAAGGAGCATAGGCAGATATTTGCTCCAGTGTTTTTAAAAAGATATGTCTTTTTAAAAAAAAATAACACAACTCACCTCTAAACGTTTCAACTCTCCAACCTGATTCTGGATTGAATTCTGCAAGGTTTTAATCCTTTCAACTTTATCAGCAACTCTCTGTTTCAGTATCACCAATCTCCTTCTTAGATCATCAGATATTTGCCCATAGCTCTTATCTAATTCTGAAATAAAAGATGTTAGTATAGCCACAGCCCTTTATACAGTGTAAGTGATCTAAAAATATGCATTAACCAAAACTACACAACTTTCCTAGTTTGATGTCTTTAAAATTAGAAGGAACCATCTGTATAATAGTCAGTAGTACTCTATATGTCTTTATAAGATTGGATAGAGACTTAGAGATAGAATACTATAGCTGCAATTCCTCATTAATGTACTTTCCTCTCCCTTCTACATTTTCTTTTACAAAAATGTCTCTATTAGGAAGGAAAGAGTTCATTCCATTCTCTTGTACCTTTTTTCTTAGTCTATCATCTCAAAAAATTGTGTCCCACTCACTGTGGTCCCAATTAATGTTGGAATACAACATTATTTCTAAGAAACATTTATTTCTGTTTAAGGTGCAGCTTATCAAATAATGAGTAGGTAGCTTAGAAATAGAGCCTATTAAGCATGCATAATTTGGAATGGGATTTCCTGCCTTTCTCATTAAACCCAATACTAACCCAGGTATTCCAGAGATGGCAGCGGAAAATAAATATATCGGTCTGAAAGCATGACAAATAATTTTCAAAAGGGAAAGTGAAAAAATAATGTACTGGAAGATTTTGTTAAGTAATTGGTGAAAACGTTTGTTGTGATTTGCAAGAACCTAAAATAGCCCAGAATGAGATAATAATGCTTTTTACCTATTTATGCCAAATAGCTTTAATCCTGTGGTAAAACAAGTATGTTTTTTAAAGAAACAGCTAACAGTATTTAAATTCAATTTATTTTATGTGCCAGCCTTCCCAGTTTTCTTTCCAGACACATTGAGGTTAGAGAATTCAAGGAATTTAGTTACCTTTACATTTCATGAGCATTTTATAAATCTTCATCTAACTGGAATTAAGCTTACCTTGTTCACTGGGCAGATATCTTTCCAGATAGTTAAAAATTTCTTGTTTCAAAATATTGGATGACTTGTAACGACTTTGGTTATCCAAAATCGCCTGCTTAATCTTTTCTATCCTGTTTTGAAAATCATAATTTGTTTCATCTACCAGTCCTTGAATCCTGCAACCTGAGGGACATTTAGTTCCCTAAATAACAGAAACAAAGTAAAAGGATACATAAAATAATTGACAAATAATGGATAACTTTTCAGATGTTACAAAGCACAGTATAGGTAGTCCTCAGGCTACAAACACAAGTGGAACCAGAACTTTGGTCACTAAGCAATATGATTAAGTCACTCATGTGAATCCAGCTTTAAACTGACATGTGCACTCAGTCATTGTGGTTTACTATGGCTTACTATATTTTGTGCACACAAGCTGTGGTTAAAACCTCTTGTACAGATTTGTATAATTATCTATGCACATTTACTCAAAAGTAACTCTTGACTTTTTGTGCAACCTTTTGTGACTACATTATCCTTTTTCTAATTCATAAATTCATATTTGTGTGGAAAAGTACAAGTCAATATGACTTTGTCATGTGGTGAGTATTTTTTAAAGTTCTGCAAAAAAATCTAAAAATCTACTTTCTGGTTATTTATTTATTTTATATTCTGGAAATGAAAACGGTTATAATATCCATGATGGGACAATCCAGAATAAATAGACTTATTAAATTCCATTTCTTTCTTCACTTATGTGGCAAAGAATGTATTATACTCCAGTTTTTGTTCTGGAGTAATTAAATTAACTCATTTGCTTCTTTGCTAGTTCTCACAAAACACTTATCAGCCAGTGACCAGGTTAACCGTGTTGCAACTGGCTCTTAGGAAAGTGAGCAGAACTGTGGCCAGAACTGTTCCTGATCAAGCCATTTCTAAAAAATATTTCTTTAATACTTTGTTTAACTTATAATAACATTTGATTAACTTAGGATAACATTTTCCAACCAGGAGCTTTCTACAGGAGCTGATAATTACTCCCCCCAAATATAAAATATATATATACAAATATATAAAATCAATGAACTGGATATTCAAAGTAGTTTTTTTGTGGAAACTACTGAATTATAAATGTGCTTCTCCGCTGTATCTAGCCTATTATATCTAATATATTACAATAAGGGAAATAGCTGTTTTGCATGAAAAACACCATGATTAGTCTGCCATTGGCGTTTTGTTCTCTATTGGCTTACCCAATTGTCATCAGTACATATTGGCCAATCCTTATCAGATTTGCAATCAGATTGAGTTTTATGCTCTACTATTCTGGTACCACGCCCTGTTGCTCCTTGTTCTTGAAAGGAAGACTCATTACTTGCCCCCTGTCATGAAATAAGTAAAGAAGAGTAAAAAAGACCCAGTTAAGGCTGAAATTTAAGATTGAAAACTTGCACAGTAATAATTCCTTTCATAAATAATCCATATCCCTAGTATTTGCTAAAAAAAATAATCATCAACTACATTTAGACACTTGCTTCAAATTACTGGACTATTTTTTTTAAACAAATAGATAACAGTCGTTCAAAGAAATAAAGCCCATGAAGTCTCAAAGAGAGAGCCCATCTACTTCCATACTCAATATGGATTGAGTAATTATTTTAACTACTCGTGTAATGTATTGAGTTGAATTTATGAAACAGGTTACTGAAGAGCTGTGCAGGAACCGTTAGCAGACCACATGGTCTGCCAGCCAGACTTGCTGTCTACAAGACCAATTAGTATGCATTTGAGCGGGAGAATACTGTGTTTTCGTTGGCTGACGCTGCCCAAAGCTGAATGTATAAATAGGGGTGGAGCAATGCTTGTTAGTTTTCTGTTTTGACCTTCAATAAAGAAGTACTTGTTTCTATTGCTGCCTCTTCAGTGCTGAACCAAGCAGAAAACAGAACAACTTGAATCCTAAAAAAAAATAAAAAAAATATCCCCTTTTCCTACAAATAGATGACATTACATTAGATTGCTTGATTAGGACCCATGGAAGTACACATTAACATCTAATCAGGATTCATTTAAATCCCACTGATTTCTATAGCATTTCAATGTAGTTCACTTCTTTGAGTTCAGGCCATAGTGCTTAAGTGGTAAATTAACATGTTACAAAATATATTAAACATGAGTTAGATATTGAAATTAGCAATTGCAATACAGATTGCAGTACAAGTATGTCAGCTTAACTTGACTCTTCATTTCATTAGAAGACATATTTTAATTGCTGTCATGGGACTTTAAATTGTGAAGAGAATGGATTGATATATAGTACAGAGAATTCTTCCTTAATATTAACTATTATAGTAAAAATAGAAAAACAGAACATTAAATGAAGAACAGCTTTCTATGTTTTGATGGTGACTACATCAAAACGCATATGAACATCAGAATTGTTACAGTATTGCTAGTGTATAGTTTATTTCAAATACAAAATGATCTCTAACTTCAATCCAAAGAATTTCAAAATACTATTATAAAAATGGCTTATCATACAAACCATGGCATCACAAATTACTCTGCACTGGGACAATTCCTAGACCTATGTTATTTTTGATGTAAATATATGAATACAATTATTGGATTATTGATAACAAATGATTAAATCTAAAATAAAAGATTAAAATCAGCAATACTCTATCAGCCTTGTTCAAACGTTATCAGAGGTTACAAAGTAATCAATGAATCAGTGAATGCTAACAATGCTATATCTCACGAGACCTGGACTTAAACAGCGGCTATTGAAATGACTGTAATATGCTGTCCACCTGAGTTTTATTGTCCCAGCTTTTTTGTTTAGAATATAGCAGAAATCTTTGAAATCAATGGGACTTCTAAGTTAGTCCTGTATAGTTTTACAATATTACTTTTACTGTAATGCATTTATAGTTAAGTACCCCTGTGTGAGCCTGACCTCTGATAATTATATGAACAAATGGAAGTACATTAAAAGATTTTTCTTTACTAATATTATAGATACCATAACACATTCAAACATGTCATCTGGATTTTGTATTAAAAAATATAAGGGAAATGCATATGAATAATACATACTGTAATTTTAATAAAAAAATTATAAAGCACCCACTGTTTCTAATCAAGCAAGATGATAAACAGACTTCGTGAGCATTTAAAAACACAAAGACACATCGGGGTATATGCTGCATCACAAAGTTCTTCTGGGTTCCCTTCAACTCTCCAGAGATTGAATTACTTACTACTTGCAAGTCATTGAACATAAGTAGGAGCTAAATGTGGCACTGAGAGTTTTGCCCATGTGCAAACAAAAGTAAATACAAATTTTATCAACGAACTTGCAAGTTGGTCCAAGAATTATACCACCCTTAAGAGAATATTTGAAGTGGAAAAGCTTGTTCTTGATCATATTACCATGTATTTGATAGTAAGGGATAAAATATGTTGCTCCTTAAATAGGCAAGTAATAAAAGGAGCACAACCAGTAAAGAAAGAACTATATAAAATATATTCATACCAAGGCGATGCTGAAGGACAGCAGTGCGCAAAGAATTCTGAGCTGAAACATCTTCAGAAAGGTTTGGATGTGGCACAAAGGAATCCCCTTCACTTAGGCATTTTGAGTTGTATTTCAATCTTTGTTTTGTCAATCCCCCTCCTCTTCCTTCATTAATGATTACTTTCCTTCTGTTTACAGAGGCATATTGCAACCTCTGAGTTCAGTGACTGAGCAGCTCTTGCACAAGCTGTGCAATTTGTTTTTTGACACTCTAGTTGCTCAATGCTAGCAAACACGGAAGACAAGCCAACCACATTCCTGGAACTGAGATTGTCTAAAGGTTGAAATGGGTCATTTCAAGGTAAATTTTTAGAGAGGAATCCAACATTAAGCACAAAGCAAATGTAATGACAAACAGATGCTATTTACAGGAATATATTGCAAAAGATAATATGTTCTCAATCTTTTATACCTCATTGTAATGTCTAAATCTAAGAGATCTCTGGAAGGGGAAAAATATTTGTACAAATTCTGGAGGATTTACCTAAACCACACCTTTTGTCTTCTGTCTGTCTCCCCCTCCCCATCTCTCTCTCCTTGCCCCATCATATGATACTATGATGAAGAAGATGAAAACACACAAGTTTCTAAATAGAACCTTTTTTGAGGGGGATCTTTTCAATGCTATCTCTGAATAACAAGGGTCAATTTAACATGAAATTAAAAAAAGTTAGATATCTGGGGCGGGAGTTAATTTATCCCCCCCCCGAGACTGGTAAGATGGAGTCAAATCTAACTACACCTGAGCTAGCTAAGTAAATTATTTTCAAGAACCAGAAACATGTTTTTATATTTCCCATGCAGCCCAATTATGTTTGGCCATAAATAGGATTGTTTCCATTTCGATTCATATTGACATACTTTCCTTCCTACCCCAAAGGTGCTTTTCAAAAGGCAATAGGACTTTCTTTGTTTTTTTCTTTGAAAACATTTCGCTTCTCATTCAAGAAGCTTCTTCAGTTCTGGCTGAATGGTGGGGAATGGAAGGATTTATAATCATTGCGGTCATCTGAAAGTCGCAATTTCACATTCTGAAGGTTAAGCTGTTTGAGAGTTGTTGAAGCCACATTGCTGGAATATCTGAAAAGCTCAGGAGGATTTTCTTTAAAAAAATATATTGGTTTTTTACAAAAAAAACCCCAGTGCCTGGTGTACAGCGTATTATCTTGGTTTATATATTTGAAAAAAAAAAGCAATAATAATTAATTAACAGTCAATAATGATTGATTTTGATAATTCCATAATTAGTATATCAATTAATAATATATTTCTTTGATCTTCCCTTCTCCCAATTATATTCTCCTTCTTCAACTTTAAACAAATATAATTCTTAATATTTTCAATATATACATGATTAAATATAGACATTTTTTCATATTTGTACAGATAATGATAACATCTATGTATAACATTTTTAATCAGCTTATATTATTCTTATAAAAATCATCTTATTAATTCACCATGCATCCTATTTTTGTGATTTTTGTTTAAGCTTAATTTCCCCTTTATATTCAATCCATTCTTATCCATCATGATTCTCTCAATGCTAGTCATCTAAGTATCCAAATTTTTCAATTTAAGTACACCATCCCACTATTTTCATATTTAATGCATTATAAAAATACTGTACTTATCTATCTTATAGCATTTGCGTATGACATCCTTTCTGATCAGCTTATAATTCACTTATATTTATAAATGTTACATCATCCCAATATTTTTACATTTCATATAACAATCCAGGTATTCTTCTTTCAGACACTTTTTAATCTTATGGCTGGCCCAGCTCTTTCTTTGTTCCCAGCTTTCTTCTTGAAGATTATTTAAAGTTCAAGGGAACAGATTATTCTTTGTTTCTAGGTGTCCTGCCAATTTCTGAGTCATTATTGTTAGTGTTCTGTGCTCTGATTCTCCACTAGGTATCAGTAGTTGTTTATTTTTCCAGTTTTTTCAGACAAAAAGTTATTATTGTTATATATATATTTAATAATTTCATCAAAACCCTTTAGGGTATAGTCTTAACAGTTTTTTTTAGTTTCTAGATTTGTCCAGACTGTAGTATTTTAAATTTAATTTCAATATATTTCTTCCCCCCTTAGTATTAATTTGCCGCTTCCATCTATGAGGGAGTGGGGATGTAGTCCCCTCCCTTCACTTTCGGATATTTTTTTTGCTTTAGGGGTCTTTCCCAAGGATTCAGTTAAAAGATAGAAGAGAGAAATCAATGCTCTCACTAGTTCCAAGCACGTTGTTCACTGATGTCCTGGTTCGTGCTCTTGGACTTTGGCTGCAAAATAGCATGGGCTTATGTACAGCTAGCTTTTCTCCTGTTGGGTCGGAGGGCTTCCCTTGGATCGAATGGAATGACCACCGTCATTTCATGATCAACGGGGTGCCCCTCCTTCATGGTCACCTCTTCGGGGCAACTTCAGACCCATTTAGGGTCACCCTGGCAGGGCGAAACTGGCCTTGGGGAGCAGAGCTCTGCTATCCCACAGCCGTGCGCTATGGTGCAAAACCATAAGACCCTCAGGAGGATTTTCAACCAAGGTAACATACGTACACACTTCAAACCCAAGAATACACTAAAGCAAAGGTTGTCCACTCCAAGGATAAAACATCCAAACTGAGCAATGTGACATATGCAGTACTTTGCAGTGAGTCATGTGCAGATCTGTACATTGGGGAAACAAAACAACCACTTCACAAATGCATGGCACAACATAGGAGAACAAACCCATTAGGACAAGATTCAGCAGTCCATCTGCATTTAAAAGACAAAGGCCACTCTTTTGAAGACAGCAAAATCCACATTTTGGAAAAAGAGGATCACTGGTTTAAAAGAGGCCATCCATGTTAAAACTGAACAGCTCTCTCTCAACAGAGGGGGGAGTATATGACGCCACCTATCTTCTGTCTACAATGCAGTCCTTTCAGCTGTTCCAAGAAGGTTCCACACCTATTTGCATTCTTATTCAGGTGATCCTGATGGTATAGATAAATTCCCAGGTGTCAGAGAGCTGTCAGAGAGCTAATAATTGATGTTCAGAGTGCTAATGACCAGATGACTGCAAAGAATATATATTCTTCCATTTCCCATGATTCAATCAAAACTGAAGAAGCTTTTTGGATAAGAGGCAAAACCACTGAGACGATTATAGATTGACTAGTTGATATCATAAGGACTTCTTATTAGTACCTACATTAGGGCACAACTGAAAGATATGTAAATATAATGTTGATGATTAAAAGATGGTTTAGCAAAAATTTTACAGATGTTATACGCACAGTTTGATATACTTTGTCCTATTAAAGAATATATTTTAAGTTTCTGTTTTTCTTTCTGTAACATAAGGTAATACTAATAGCACTGTTGAAGCCAGAGAAGTTGAGGCATGTCCATTTTTCTTTTTTAAAATGTCTTTGGACAATACTTGAGCACTGCCCCCTAGAGTCAGGAATGACTGGTAGGGGAGACCTTTACCTTTTAATATTTCTGAAAGGACTGTTTGAACCCCATGAAGTTAGTCTACCTAGCCTTGTAGTATCAATGCTAATACTGGCAATAGATGTCCAGCTGATTAGAGTCAGGTATAATCTATGCTTTGATGACTTCTTCTGCTCCAAGCTTTTGTTCATTTCTTTGATGGTAAAGGTTATTCTATATCAGAAACTTGTTTTTTAAGGGATTTCAGACTGCCATTGTTTGGGATTTAATAAACAAGATACTATTATCTGCTGCCATTAATGATAGGCGTAACATAGTGTTGAAAAAATTACTCATTAAAAGCAGGGTTAGGAAGATAGCAGCTCTCTAAATGTGTTCCTTACAGACCCAGCCAAAAAATCTAAGAGGAAGCTGAAAGCCAATATTTGGGATAACATAAATTAGTCCTAGCCCTGTTTTTTTTTAAAGGTATACGATATGTTCATTTCATTTCATATCAGGGACACTATAGAACAATCATTTAACATATGTTGGGTTTAAAGTGGCCTATTAATATGGTACTATTAATATTTATAATTTTAGTAGCTTAATGCTCTGTTCAAAACAATTTTGACCTGATAAAAGTAAATTTAAATCTGTCAAGTCCAGCATGCTTCTTTCCACATCGTCACTTGGATGGTTTCTGCATTGTTTGCAGAATTATTTCTTTTGCCCTACGTTTAATCAATTTCATATTCTATTAACGTGGAGAAGAGGTATATGTTGTTCCTCCTCATGACGATGCTAAAATGATGAAATGTGCTTTGATAGCACAAGTAACTTTCTTTCACATTTCCCCTGCAATATTCCATGAAAATATATAATGCATGGTGCATGCATCTCAATGAATATTTTTACATTTCTCCTCTTTGCCTCTCCACTATAAAAGCCTTTGGGACAGTCTACTCTTACCTTACCATGTACAACTAACTATACAGCTCTCATGTTCCTTAGCTTAGTTGTTCCTGTGAACAAAGACTTCCAATACTGCAGTTTTTCCTTTTAGAATAGGTGTCCAGATCTTTGATTACTGTCTGAATTGAGGCAATCAGAAAATTAGCTTTCAAAATGTATTGTACTTTTCTACCACAAAACCCACGATTAGTAGTATTTTTATGTTCACACTCTTTCCTAATGATCTGTAGCTTCACATGAAGTTGCTTAATGAGCTAATTGTCTATGGAGATTCTCAGTCATAGAGAAGGACTGAGATTATGGTTGTCCCAAAGGTGCTTTTTCAAAAGATAACTGGACTTCGTTTTTCTTTGAAGATGTTTTGCTTGTTATGCAAGAAGCTTCTTCACTTCAGTGTTAGTGAGCTAATACTTCTACTTATATGTTAACTATTCACTGTAGTTCTAGGACATTTTTGCTTAAGCCTAACTATGTAGATGGCATTTCTGTATTGTATGTAAGCATAAGAGCCGTCGTGGTGCAAAAGAGCCATCGTGGTGCAGTGGTTAGAATGCACTATTTCAGGTTAATTCTGCAATAGCAGAATTCTGCCAGCAGTTTGATGCTTGCCAGCACAAGGTTGACTCAGCCTTCCATCCTCCCGATATTGGTAAAATGAGGACCCAGATTGTTGGGGGTAAATATGCTGACTGTCAACGCTGCTAACATCGGATGTTCTTGCTTTGACAACATATGGAGATGCAGCCATGTTTTATTCTTAGAATTAGAGTTGGAATTAGATGATGCTGGGGGGGGGGAGGAGGAGGAATGTGTGTATGGGAGTTAGTTAGACATAACAATATTGTAACAGTGTGAGAACCAAGGTTTTTTGAAATAAGAGATGATAAGAAATGGTGGGTTGGAGAACAGGAGGGAAAGCCTGCATTTCAAACTAATTGGAGAATGTAATTTATGACTGTTTATTAGAGGAGAAAATTGTGCTTGATACTATGTGCTCAGGGGAGGGGAATTCAGATTTTGGCTTTGCTATGTACATGCCGATGCTATGCTACTCAAATAAAGATTCTTTAAGGTAAACAATGCCTCAAAGTTCTCTGAAGAGTTTCATTTGTCGGAACCATGACATTAAGCCAAAATCTCCAACTATCTAGAGGTCCCGAGCCCCAGTCGCTGTCCCTAGAATTGAGGGATAAGCTGACAAAGATTCGGGGAAGATTTCAGCATGGAGAAAGAGAAAATGCCTGAAGCCAGCACCCAGCAGCAGCTGCTACTCCGGGGGGGGGGGGAGAGAAGGAGCTTTTTCAGGCCTCCCAGCTGGGGGCAAAACCCAAGCCGCTAGGACAGCTGATCTGGTCGTCGGAATGGACCCAGCCCAGTGGAGACTCCAGACGCCTTGAGACAGCCTTGCCACCCCCATTGCTTCAAAGGCAGATGAGGTTGAGCTACCACGAAGGGATTCCTGCATATCGCGTTCCCCAGATTGGTGGAGAACTACCAAATCGTCTGCCACTGAGGACTTGGGTGAGTGGAAATACCTGTCCGCAGCTCGTAGTCAGTCAGTGGAGAAATTGGTGGAAAAGTTCGAGGAGCTAGGGGTATGATTCTCACTTGGGGTGCGAGAGGTCCTGGGTTCACTCAGTTGTGAAGTTTAAGTGGTGGTTTACTTCCTTTTGATCTAAGGCACATTATTTCATACATGGAATTTAATTTGCCATTTCATTTTCCATTCCCCTTAATTTTTATGGTATATATTTGTTTTCACTATTCTGAATATTTGGAGCCATTTGAAAACTTGATCACAAACAGAGAAAACAGTTGCAGCCCTTTTTAGAGCAGAAAATCTTTTTGACATTGACTTGAAGTTAACCAGCCCCTTGAAATTAGACTATTGCAATTTGTGCTATTTGGAGCTGTCTTTGAAAACTACCTGGAAACTGCAACTCAGACAGATTTCAACCAGCTACTTGCTGGCTGATGGAAGCTGCATTCATACTAAAATACCTGTGTTGAGGTTACATTGGTTGCCAATAGTTTTCAGAATTCACTTCAAAATACTGTTGGTAACTATAAATTCCTACTTGGTATGGCTCCATTTTCCCTTTGGGACTGTTTCCCTTTAATAACATCTATCCATTGGTGAAGTCTTTCTTGGAGGAATTCTTTTTCTCAAGAGGTGAGAAATGCAGAAGGGCAGAAGACCAAATGTAGACCTGTTTAGCACAAATAGGTCAACCCATTCTATGTTTTTGCATATAGTTTTGAAATAAATATATTTGCAAATGAAGTTTTGAAAACTTTGTTTTATTCCTGTTAATTGTATCACTGTTAGGGAACCACAGCTGAGGATCGCCATTGAATTTTACCTCACTTGGCAACAGGTTGATGACCTGAATTGATACCAATGCTTCTGAAACAATGAGTTAGCTGGAGGGAGGGGGTTGCATATCTCTCCCTCCCTCCTTCTCATAGTCAATCAATTATACATGTTTTAACGCATATAGGCCTGATAATATAGTAAAATAGTGAATATAATGGATACTAGTATTTATCTTTGATGACAGTCCTAGTAGAAGTGTCTTCTACAAGAGCAAGCATGATCAGGCATGAGGAAGCTGTCAGCTCAGCCAGAGCCAGAGAGATGCCTCCAACAATGGGTCAGTGGTGGGATTCAAATATGTGAACAACCGGTTCTCTGTGTGAATGCCGCTTCCAGAAGTCCATTCTGGGCCTGGGGAACCAAAAATTAGCTACCAGTTCTACTGAACTGATGCAAACTGGCTGAATCCCACCACTGCAGTAGGTTCCAAATGGTTTTGCACAAAACCAGGATGAAAAGCAGTAGAGAATTAATGTCAGGCTAGAAGCTAAATCATATAAGGAACAGCTTCTGGAATTGGGTATGTCTAGTTTAATGAAGAGAAGGACGAGGGGGGACATGATAGCAGTGTTCCAATATCTCAGGGGCTGCCACAAAGAAGAGGGAGTTAAGCTATTCTCCAAGGTGCCTGAAGGCAGGACAAGAAGCAACGGATGGAAACTAATCAAGGAGAGAAGCAACCTAGAACTAAGGAGAAACTTCCTGACAGTTAGAACAATTAACCAGTGGAACAACCTGCCTCCAGAAGTGGTGAGTGCTCCAACACTGGAAGTTTTTAAGAAGAGACTGGACAGCCATTTGTCCCTAATGGTGTAGGGTTTCCTGCTTGAGCAGGAGGTTGGACTAGATGACCTCCAAGGTCCCTTCCAACTTTATTATTATTATTATTATTAAGCCACTGTAAAATGTGCAACTGTTTTATTAGTCATTTTTAAAAATATGGGTCACATAGCAAAATTAATGTTGCTATGTTTTTTATGGCAGCTGAGAAGCCATTAGCAACACATTAAATTGATTCATTATAAGACACATTGCAAAATAACTAGAAATGATGGTGGATATATAGTACAGTTCTGCATTGTGTAGGAGATTTACTCGCACATGGAAATCACAATATCATACTTGTAAATACTGTGAGACAATGCAGAAAACATCAGGATTCAGATTTTTGACCTGCCAACTACTACACCAATCAGCTATTCAGTTTTTCAAAACTTAATGTAAAGTCTACACAACTGTACACACATATATTTATGCAATGTGTGCAAAAAATAGATAATGACTGTCTTTTATTCTAGTGACAGAGAAAACTATGGGCTAAACTGAGTTTAGCTTCATTTCCATCTTATTTTTTAAAAGCATCTCTAACTTGCAATAAAAATGAAAACAAACACTTGTATTTTTTTTTCCTGAGAAAAATATTGGGTTTTTAATATCTATAAATAGGATTCCATGAAGATCTTTATTTGTGTATCTGACATCCTCAGCAAACAGTAACCACATTCCTAATTTAAATTTCTTTGTGTTTATAAGAAGTTACACTTAATGAAGCCAGATTATCAGCAGAACTCATTTTCCTCATGATATGACTGGACAAGACAAAGGTGTTATAGGTTTAAATGGCTAGGTGCAAATTTTTGTCTAAGTCATAAACTAGTTTATTTGGCTTTGGCTCTTGTGCACTTAACTGCTCTAGTTTATTAACCATGATTTATAGCATACATCCAGCCAATTGCTGTTGGACATGACTAAATATGCTGTGGGTTTGCTCATTGTGGGAACCAAACAATGATAGCAGTGAGATTTAAATTAGTCACGACATACATAAAGGCTATTGATTTAAATTGATGTCCTCTAAATATGACAAAGTTTTAAACCAATCTCAATAATTTATAGCATCTGCTTTTAAAGCCAATTAAAGTAGTGGACACCACCAGAACTTACATGATTAATAATGTCATATATATGTTTATCAGAAAATTTAAGATGATCTTTTTTTCTTAAAAATATGCCTTTTGTCATGAATCTGCAGTTTTATTGTAAACAATATATTCAAAGTTCAACAGCTCTGACATTTTTACATAGGATATAAGAACAAAAAGTGTTTATGTTCATTGTTGCCTTTACATAGGCAATTGTTTTTATCTTTCTAAATGTCTCCACGGTGTGAGAGTTCAACATCTTTTGCTCCTCCACTTTGCTGCCCTGTTACAATTGTAAGTCTGCTGAAAGGAATGACTTTCATAGTTGTTTTCTTCATGGAATACCATCGATCACGCCAAGTTGCCCAGGTAATGCCATTGTCATAGCCATTTGGACCAGCATCTTTCTCGCTATAAACACCTCCTACAATGTGAAAAAAAATGTAAAACATAATTGACCCAAGAAATACTTTTACATAGCTTTGAGATGCATAGATAAGTAGTAATTTTAAGACCATGCTAGGTGAGCATTATGTAATTTCATTTACTCTGTTATTAAGTACAACATGAATGATATCAAACTGCTATAGACATTGTGTTTCTTTTAACATTTCTGCATGAATTATGATCCAAAGTTGGAATTTGCTATCATGAGATGTGCTGGCTACCAGTTTGGCTGGTTCCCCCCCCCAAAAAAGGACTGCATCAGTTCATGAAAGTCACAAGGATCAATGGCTATTAACCTTGATGGCAATGTGACTGTCCCTGAGAGCCAAGGTCCAAACCAGCAAAGACATATTCAATCTGCTCCTTATGTTTTTATGCTTATTTAGAAGTTCCGTGGGATTAAATCAGGTTGATCTTTTAATATGTATGTTCAATTTAGGTCTAATAAGCAAGATATTTATGTTGCAGACAATTAGCTCTCTTTTTTCAAAAGGGGAAGGAGGACTTGAACTAAAACCTACTTAAAATACTTGACATGGAAGATATCAAAAGACATTGTTCAACTAACCTCCTCCACTTTTCCTCCTTAATGATATTTTGTGGAAAAAGACAAAAATGGTATGAAGAAAGGCTACATGTTAGTGTTATCTATACCACCTCAGTAAAAAACTACTGGGAAAGACAGAAAGCAGGTGTATGGGAAATGTTTCATTCAGAGATCACATTGTGTACGTGGGAAACTTCCAAATGTTACCTTGATAATATTTGCCATTCAGATGGGCAGCGTGACATTTGTTCATCCACCACCCAGATCCATCTTGTTCAGCGCAGTTGCCTTCAAATTTATCATTATCATTGTCATGCGTGCTAAACTGAATGCCGTTGTGAGAAGTAAAAAATTTGTCACTCGGATCAGTTCCAAAATCAAACCCATCAAAGGCATCCCCAGCTTCACCCCCAGCAAAGAAGGCATAGGTCAAACGGTATTTGTCAGCTTCATTTCCCAACTTGAAATGGGCATAATCTGCATAGCTGTGGGGGGGGGAGAGAAGAAAAGAAAATCACTATTAACTTCTTGTGGCCTTTTATTTCTTGGCCATTCAGTTGTGCGACCTGATGCAAATATTTCAAGGGTTTGCACTCGTTCCTGAAAGATTAATTTCAGGAGTTGTACAAATACACAGGATATACATAGGCAAGCAAATAATGGGGGGGAAAATATGATCATTCTTGCTGCAGACACTGCTGAAACAAACAACTATATATTTGAAACTGCTGAAGCAAACTAACCCTAGATCAGAGGTCTCCAACCTTTTGGGCACCAGGGACCGGTTACGTGGAAAGAGGGGGTGTGGTTTTGTGTGCTGCTTGCATCCTGTGGATGGGGCTTTCTTGTTTGTGCGGACTGGTTGCTAGCATGCCACGGCCCGGTACTGGCCCACGGACCAGGGGTTAGGGACCCCTAACCTAGGTAATATTATAAGGCTAAAAGCAATTCAAGCTCCACTAATTTGAATGGATTTGAAATATGTTTAGCTTGTAGAAGCATTACAAGTTGCAGTGATCTTATCGTACTACTACCTGTAAAGTGCAGGTAGCTAAACTAGCCATTTTTGCCGATCACCGTTACGTTAGCTATGAACCTTGAGCTGATAAAGAAATCTATACCTTTTTTGATTAGCCCAATCCTCCATCTCTACTCTCAAGGCATATGGAACTGTAGTCTGCGTAGTTATTAAATGAATCTTTTCATTTCCCAACCAGAATTCTGTATTGTCATTTGGTGACAGATGTCCAAATCCTTCCTTATATTGAATCCAGTTTTTGTTAAAGTCTTCACTGCCATCAAGCCTCTGTAAATAAAACAGAAGACAGAGAAAGATTATATATGTTATTGGACCCGGCGCTCCTTTGTTGTAATTTATTTTCTGTGATATGCTCACCCTTTGTAAAACTGTCCACCCGTTGCCCAGAGTGTCGATTTCACAGTACACCAGGAACTGTTGCTTGGCTTTCAGGGGTTTTATGAAGTACAGCCCACTCTGCCGGGCACCTTTATTAGCAATGTCTTGACAATCTATAATTAACATGTAAGAGAGAAGTGGCTAGTAAAAACTGCAATCCACTATATTCATTGTTAATTAATAAAAACCTTCTTTATTTTAAATGATAGTTTAGCTCAAAACAATGGGAACCAATCTTTGCCTTAGCATACTGAAGGAAGGAAGAAGCTATAACTTGGTTTATTTCCGCACCTTAGTATGTTATGGAAATAGCAACTGTATTTGTGATGAAGCATGTTATGTGAAACTAGCCAATATAGATCAATAAGGCCTGATGGCTAATATGTCTAGAACATGTCTGCAAATATTTCCATTAGTCCTCATGGCTATGACTTCTATAGGAAGCCCATTCAAGAATTATTGGTAGTCCTACACAAAAGCTGATATGGGAATAAGTAAAGCAAAGTGAGCAGAATTATAAAGTATATTTTTTTTGATACTTCATTATTATAAAACTAGTTTCTATTTTGTTTCAACAGATATGAACATAGATCTGTTTTTGAACTTTAATATTTCGTCTGAAAGTGGCACCTCATTGATCTTCACAGCAAACTTAGAAAACTGGAGCTGGAAAAAAGTGTCCTAGCCTAGGCCATTGTCCTAAGATACTTTTTTAAAAAAAGCATTAACAAATATTTGTGAGGCACAAAAGATCAGGTCCACATGTGAAGGTCCAATTAAACTGATTTAATGCTACATATTTAATGCTACATATGCACATGAATATTCTCAACTAACAATTAACATCTACTAGGAGTTAGATAGGGTCAATGGAATTGGGTGTGTGTGTGTGTGTTGAACTTAGTTCACCTATGGTTATGTAGGCTGATCTCTCTTGTAACTCCACTCTAGGTTCTGCGACTCTTCCCCTACTTACTTACTTACTCACTTACTTGCTTGCTTACTTATTTATCCAGTTTCTATAGCCATCCATCTCAACCAGTGACCAGTAGCAATGTTATGTTTCCTATCTTTAGCCTTAACAGTTATGGAAACAATTATCTTCTGTTAGCTTCTCATCTGCTGTTGATGAGAATCCATGGGGGGGGGGGGGGAAGGACCAACTTCTTTTGGCCTTTATCAGCCTTTGAGTGACATGTTGGAAGTCATACTTAATAATTAAGAAATTGGTGCTTCTAGGACCAGGAAGTGAGTAGTTCAAAGGCAATAATCAGTGCTTTTATTTCATTTACATGTAATTAATTTGAAATTAAATGAGCTAAATACAATTAATATTTCTCCCGTTTACAACTTATTACAACCTAGAGGGAACATTTAGTGGAGCATAATATGATATGCGTGCAGTCATGATAAACCACATTTCTACATAGAATATTTGCATTATCCTTATACCAACATGCTTTTCACAACATTTGAAGCCACAGTTAAAATGCTTTTGCATACACAGTTTCTTAGCGGCTTATTTGTGGATGACTTCCATTTGACAATAATTTTAAATGCCATTAATTTAACATAATACATCAGATCATAATATCCAAAATTCTAGTTCTAAAGATATTTGACTATTAAAATGAAGAATATAACTAATACCAAATGAATTGTTCTATTAATAAGCATGCTTGGAATTGAGGTCAAAAGATAATTATAGCAGTAACATCTACAGCTTAAATCTCCACTGAAATCAACATTTCTGTCACTTTAAAAATAAATAAAGCACCTTTCAAATTTGTTTTGTTAAGATTTTGCCTTTATGTCTAATTGCTATTAATTTAATATCTTCTCAAAAAATAAATTTAACCTAAAACAGATAAATCAACAAATTATTTCTGTTAATTTGTAATATGTTAAAGAAATGCTTTTAAAAAATCAATTGCAGATTAGATTATAATGAATATGGATCAAAATGTACTTTTGGCTTGGTAAACAGTTCTTCAGAGAAAAATGGATAGAATTTAGTGTTAGTAAACAGCTTGTTACTCTTACCTCTTCCAGTTAATTCTTGTATCTGAACAGTGTCTTTACATGGCTGTTGACATTGTGCTTCGAGCTGAGCAGTTTTCTGCTTTAGTGACTGAATCTTGTTATTGTTTGATATCAGTATGTTTGTCAATTGCCTGGAGTTTAAAAAATATAATATAGATTTATCATAGAAGCACTTGAAACTCACATATGATGGCCTTTCCTTCTATGAAAGAAAGCAGTGAGGAATGAAAGAAATGGAAGGGAAAATATGAGTATGCATTGCCCTATATCATCTATCCACTGAATTTACAGATTGAGGTGGGATTCTAAAATAATCCTTGCCTCTTTATGTATTCATTGTTTAACCAGAGAATTCCTGAATGGGACTAACAATGTGGAGATCAGCTCCTGTATATATGCTTACATGAGGCACTCTACCATTATTTTTCTGTTTGTATACTATTTTTCTTCCCACATTACACAAGGAAGGCCCAGTAGTTATAATGAAAAAATGGAAATATAAAGATATAATTCAAACTAAGGAAATTAGAAAGGCTCTAAAATGGATAAATTATTCTCTCTTATGCTGTTTCGGGGACCCTGAAAATTATTAAAAATTGGTAACTATAACTTTAAGAGGTCCCAACCATTGTAGCCAACAAAGGAGAATATTGGGAGCTAAAATTCAACATATCTGGAGAATGCCAAGTTTGTTCCTTCCCTACCCCAAAGGATTGCTACATGGATAAGGCGTGCTAGATAAGTAAGTCATGTATATAGTGTGATAATAAACAGATATTCTCTCAGCATTTTTGCTATTCTTTATCCTTTGTAAAATATAAAGGTTATTTTAAAAGTAAGTAATTCTGCTTTAGTTAAAATACAAAGCAAGCTCTGTGCTTCTTTTAGATGAACAAGAACTGTCTGGTGTAGTCTGGCTCTATTCATATTTACCTCTCCAATTAAGTACATACTGTAGTATAAACTACAATATAAACAGTTTAACTTTCCCTGATGCCTGATTTTAAAATAGGCAACTAATACGACATGGAAAACGTGAAGAAAGGAAGAAAGCATTGCTTTTTATACATCAGCAGAAATTCTGTTGGAACAATAGATGGAAACCCTTTAATTATATTCACAAAATGTTTTTGCATTCTCAGCACTGAAAAAAAATAATTAAACCTACTGTACTGTATTTTCATAGCCCACAACGATGTTTTCATATCTAATAATTTCATCAATGATTTGTCTGGACTTCTGTGTATAACCTGGAATTACATCTGTAGGGGGAAAAAAGCAGAGGATGCATAAAACATTATGGATACCAAAGTAAATAATTGAGATAGTAAAACTCTTTATGGTAGCCTTTGATTCTCACTTGACTGAGCTGCTGGCTGTGAGGCATGCTCTTGTCGGATATGGCGTATCAAATTGTCAGTTACTCCTGAAGAATTAGAAATGTCCCCCATCATTTGTTCAAGGTTCTGCAAATCTCGATCAACATCCAAATGATATCTAGCTATGAAATCTGCAATGCCGCATGTTGTAGGACAAAAGTTGCCCTAAAGGAAAAGAGAATTTTTTAAAATCTTATCAACTAACAAGAAATGTTTTATAGCTTGACAGTAAGAGTTTTTTTTCTATCCACATGAGTTGATGTGGTACAATAAAGTGATTTGCAATAAATAAAAGTCTAAACACAGGACAAATGAAAACAAGATGAGTAATACGCCTATAGTGGATTGTCAGTTGTTAGTCTAAAAAGAATCATGCACTTTAGTAAGAACTTCATGTTTACAGCTAACAATCTATAATAACCACCTCATTAGAAAGGACTGCAAAAATAACACAGATATTGACTTACGAATCGTTCATCCAAGATACAGCAGTTTTCACGCGTGGCAAAATACTGAATAAAAGAAAAAAACAACAACATGGTGTTTCAGTGATTATGATATTTTGGTGACTACATATTTTACATAGATCCATACCCTGCCCAGGTAAACTTACTGCAGTACAAGTTGAAAAGAAGAAAAATAGAAGAGGCAGCCACTTGTTAAATTTTGGCAGCATTGTGTCTGTTGCTTCCAGAACCGCCAAACACAGGAGAGGTAGTGCTTAACCAGTGTGAGTTTGTAGACTTCGGAGAACTGAACTTATTCTCTAAACTGTGCAGGGGCAGCTTAAGAGATCATGTGGCGTTTAGTGGGTGAAAATAGGTGGGGCTGAGACACAAGGAGGACAGCCTCTTCCGAGCCCTAGTGGGAGTGTTTCCTGAATTTGCTGGCACCCATTCATTGCATTTTTAACACTAGATGTTTCTCACTTACCTCTGCCAGAAAAACCTATGAAAGGATAACTTGCCCTATGAAGCAATTTCTTCCAGTAACCATTTGCAATAAAGCTGACTTGCTTGTTTGAAGGACCTGAATGCAAAAGATAACAAACATGTCAAGAGTAGCTGGCTCTCACAATTTCCACCCTGCTCTTAGCGGAAAAGCTAAATTTTGGTAAACACGACTCATCTGAAAAAAAAAAAAAAACTTCAAGCCATAGCAATATTAAAAGTTTCTGAGTGCAACAGAAGAAAGCAGTTTTGTTAATTAGGAGTGAAAGAAAAATAGCTCTTTTCTTGGTCTACATTGCCTCTAATTTCTTCTAGCTCCCCTGACCTTGCACTGACTATCAGTTTAAAAAATATCAGTCGTATTGGGTTAAGTCATAGGACAAACAGTACTTCTGCATCTTTCTAATACGCCCTGATGATCAGAGTACAAAGAGAGCTCAATTCAGTAAACTTGTTTTATTGCATTAAGGGCAACAGAATTATAGCGAAAGATAATCTAGGAAGTATGAAGCAGGATTAATTTCTATAATACAGAAATGATTCTATTGCTTTTTATCCTACAGCTACAAGCATTTAAGTTGCATATTATATAGGTGTTAATATGTTTCCCATTGATTAGCAGATCCTGTTTTTTCAGTGAATAAAAATTCTGATATACATATATAATAAGATATCTCATATTACAAAAAAAAACAAAACACAAACCCTACCATTATTTGGGGCTAGCACCAGATGTATTTTACTTATTAATTCCTTTATGTATTTGTACATTGGCAAATATTCACAGTGGGTTACAACATACTAAAAACCAAGGAAAGCACCCATATTAAAACACAACATTTAATTATAATAATAATAGCCCTTGATAATAAAAAAGGACATCTGGTTAGGAACAATCACAATAATTCCCCCTTTGGAAAATTCAGGCTTTAAAAGCATTCAGGAAGTAGCCAGCTTAATTTCTAGAAGGAAGAAGCTCCATTAGTTCCATAAGGGGCCACCACAAAGAAGAAGGGGTCAACGTATATTCCAAAGCACCAGAAAGTATGTCAAGAAACTATGGATGGAAACTAATCAAAGAGAGAAGCAACCTGGAATTAAGGAGAAACTTCCTAACAGTGAAAATAATTAACCAGTGGAGCAGCTTACCTTTAGAACTTGTAGGGGCTTCATCACTGGAGCTTTTAAAGAAAAGAATGGACAGTCACCTTTCTGAAATGGTATCGAGTCTCCTGCTTGAGCAGGGAGTTGGACTAGAAGACCTCCTATGTCCCTTCTAGCTCTATTCTGGTTGATTGATTGATTGATCAAGTAAGGTGCTGTATAATCTCCCAACAGAAATATGTTAATATTTTCCCCTGAAACTTTCCTTGAATGACTTCTAATCTGAGGTAAATCAAGCAGTTCACGAAGGTTATAGTGGCTATCACATTAATCTATATGCAGAAATTATATATGCACTAGAATATTAATCTTATTTCAACACTGAAAACAGGAATTTTGTAAATCACATTTGATGTAGCAGTTCAAAGGGTTGGCACAGACAATTCTGTTCTCCAATATCTCATGAGTGATGCTTTTCTCCAGGCCCTGCTGCTTCAATACAAGTAGTCCTTGACTTACAACAGTTCATTCAGTGACCGTTCAAAGTCACAGTGGCATTAAAAAAAGTGGCTTATGACCATTTTTCACACATACGACGTCCCCATGGTTACATGATCAAACTTCAGACGCTTGGCAACTGACTCATGTTTATAAATGTGCAGTGTCCCAGGATCATGTGATCACTTTTTGTGACCTACTGACAAAGTAAGTCAATGGGAAAGCCAGATTGACTTTACAAATGCGTAGCTAACTTAACAACTGCAGTGATTAACTTAACAACTGTGGCAAAAAGGTCATAAAATGAGGCAAAATTCACCTAATAACTGTTTCACTTAGCAACAGAAATTTTGGATAAACGTGTATCGAATCGTATTGGAGTAGAAAACAAACATACTTTTTCATTATTGTAATATAAGGATTGTTAAATTCATCCCAGACAACGACTATGTATTTATTTACAGTATTTATAATGTGAACAGAAAATTATCAAAGGACTTTTGTAACTGACAGTACAATATATTAATTATATAAATAAATGAACAAAGAAATATTGTCCGACAGACTACTAACTAGAAGAATAAAAACACAATAAAATCATTACTTTTCAATAATAATTAGCCCAAGAAAAGAATACCTCACAATATATCAGAAAGGTAAAGGAGATAAGATATTCTTCCCCATTTGTTTTTGCTCTTTCAAATGTGTCCTTAGAAATGTTTTTCCAGAAACAAAACAATAATAAAATAATGTGCAATGCATTTTTAGAGGACAAAATGAATCCTAGTATATCCCAATTGAGCAATTTTGACCTTTCTTGCAGTTTGCTTACCAATTTCTCAAGAACTTCTAAATGATTATATATGTGGAGAGACAAAGAAGATTAGGTCTAGATTACCGTGTCTCTTTCAAGCTGATAAGAAAGGTGAAATTGGTATTAGGTTTGTTCAAACTTTCTAAATTATATTTGTTATGCAAATACTACTTTAATTCAATTCCTGTGATACAAAATGTTCTCAGTGAGGTGAACATTTTAGGTTAACAAAAACAATGAGATGTTAGCAGTCTGTAACATATTTTCAGATAAACTTGGGAAATAGTTCGGGATATTGGTAGAACATTTAAATACATTACTATTAATTTTATAGTCCATTATTGGATTTAGATTTAGAATGGAATCCAAGGGTGATTTTGGTAACCAAGGCAGGATGCTCTGAGGATATGACCACATGTAAAGAACTGCAAACATTTATTTTACAAGTTTAACATATTCTTATATATGCAAAAATGTAAACTCACAGAGGCTAGTTCCTTAGCTGGTAAAAGCCTCCATAAACATCCAGTTCTTTCCAAGAACCTAGATCAGGGGTAGGCAACCTTGGCTCTTTTATGACTCGTGGACGTCAACTCCCAGAATTCCTGAGCCAGCATAGCTGGCTCAGGAATTCTGGGAGTTGACGTCCACGAGTCATAAAAGAGTCAAGGCTGCCTACCCCTGACCTAGGATGTTGTAATGCATCAACATGGTATAGGTAGTCCTTGACTTACATTTAGTGATTGTTCAAAGTTACACACCTCATTGAAAAAAGTGATTTATGACTGCTTTGCAGATTTATGACTGTTGCAGCACTCACAAAGTCATGAGATATTACATTTAAATTATTATATTTTCCAAGCATGATATAATAGGATAGAAATTTGAGAGGGAGAACCTTGAATTCTCTCCCTGCGCACTATTTCAAAGATAAGGAAAAATATTTTTGCAAACTGTTACATTATTTTTCCAGGGTATTTTTTAAATTTCAGATATAGATCCTATCTCTTTGCCTACGTATGTACTGCAGTAAGATCCTCTTTGATAGCTCTTTTTTTTTTTCTACTGAAATCACTGCCAAGTAGAAAATGCATCGAATGGAAAATGGTGTTAGGAAAAGTTTTTTTTTTAAGGGAGAATCATTTTTTTAAATTATTTATGTTTATCCTGCTTTTATTATTTTTTTAAATAATTAAATACTCCTTCATCTTCCTACTTTCCCCATATATTCTTGTAGCCTTTCAATAATATGCGTTGCATATCACCAAATCATGGTTGATTTAACCGTGGTTTTAATGAATAAATAATTGCTGGCTTTTCATACTGTACTAAACAGGTTGCAATTTACTAATTACCGTGGTTGAATCTATACATCACAACATACTAAAGCAAGACACGTATGATATATAAATCCAACTACTTGAGACAAAAGTTTTTCTCAATTTTAAAAACATCTTTGATTCAGCATTGTATTATTTTAGCTGTTCTCCCACCATGTTGTTTTAATGGTTTTGCTTCATTTTGTTGTATTTGTTCAGTTGTTGCTATTTTATAGATCAGGCTGGACATTATGAATAAAACAATCTATTTCAGTTATAATGAAAATACGAGGGTGTAGAGGCAGAAGAAATGACAAATATCTGAAGGACAGAGATGAGCAGTTTATCTTTAGGGGGTGAGCTAGAACCACATCTACTTGAGATGGGTAATCTGCAGGCCATTTTTTTCAGTTCCTATAATTTTATACTTTAAAATTAACTTGAGACCAATGAGATTTATTTCCTGGTGAATTTGTATCAAAGTGCAGTTGTGCAGTTATTGAAGGGACTTTGGTATATTTATAAAAGGTTATTTAAAAAAAAAAGTTCTTTATTTCAAACAGATTGCAGTGTATGCTTTACCTTGAGCAGAACAGTGAACTCCATTTGTTAACAAAGATGCAAGCGGAAGGTAAATGATCAGCTCAAATATTTGTAGAATATATTGCAATTATGTGAAGATAGGAATTAGAACAAATTGAATTGTTTGTGGGTAATTATTGATGCAGTAGAGGCAAACGGGGACAGCCCACATAAATGAATAATACAACATTTCCGGGATATGAAATGGGGATAATTAAAAACACTCTATTAAACAAGGACATTAGGAACCAGAAATAGAGAGGAAAATAATTGCCAAAGTGGATCATTTCCAAATCAATGCAGAGGTAATGTGTTGCTTAATGTCTACGATAAGGTAAGATACAGGATTAAGAATGAATGAATAAATGAATATGGATTCAGTGACTAGTAGCAAAGATGTACAGAGTTA